CCCCGGGGCGGCCGTCGTCGAGTCCCCACGCTTGCATCACCCTGGGCCCCACCAGTTGAGGGTGAGTTTTGTGCTCGAATCTTAGAGAAGTTGAACAGGGTCCGTTGAAGTTTACCGTGAGGAGGATTGGCGTTGTAGAGTGAGGGGTCGATCGCGAGGTTGGACTTTTTTGAAAGGGGGATGGGAGGACGGGGGTGGAGGGTTGGGGGGTGCAGGTGAGGGGGGAGGAGTTGAAGGTGGATGCGTCGGTGGAGGCGAGGGCGGCGGTGTTTTTGAGGGCGGCGGTGGGGGTGGAGGTTAGCGTGTTTGGTGAGTTGTCTTTGGAGTTGTTGAGGGGTTGGAGATGGTGGTGCTGGTTGTCATGTTGTGAGGCCCCTTGGACCATGGCTGATCGAACTGTGATGATACAGAGAGCGGGTTTGCGGCCGAGTTGAGAGCGGATGCTCCGACGCTATCGGCCACGCTGAAGGCGGTGACTTGTGAGTACATCCCTTGGTGTTTCCTGGTTGGTCTCGGAGACACTGACAGCGACAGCGTCGAACTGCACCGTGTGCGGGGAGTTCCAGAGTGGGCTGCAAGGGAGCCTGAACTTTGGAACATCAATCGGTGCTAGTCTGACCAAGAAGGTCGCCGGGACTGAGACACCATTATGGAGCCTTAACTTCGCTGTCAGTTGAGAGGATCTGTTCGATGCAAGAAAACTGGCACGAAAGATCTGACTTTCTCTTCATCCCTCTCCCCTTCCGTCTTGCTATTGTACAATGAGGCCGTTGACTCGCTAACTATCACTCCAGGAAGCTCACACTCCAGCAATTGCGGAATTCTGTTCAGGCTTTGGACCTCAGGGCACGTGTTCAGAGCAGCATAATCCATTAGACCGGAACGGGACGGTGACGAAACGGCGTTTCCCTTTGCCTTACCGTAAGAAGCACCAAGCGTAGGAAGTTCGTGCTCAGCACCCCGGCGCTCACATGCTGTTCGGCCTACCTGTAGTTGTCGTACCAAATTTTGAAGCACTGTCAATATTCCTTACAATTTGGTCCAGTTCTGATGGTACTGTCCGTGACTGTTCAACGGGAGGTGGCTCGTCAATGGCGATGTGAAGGGGTGCCAAGATGGACACCCCTGGGTTGAGCTGAACGCCGGTCAGCCACCAAGGCAGAAAATCTCATGGCACCAGCAGCTCTGCTACCACAATTATGTGGTTTCTGGTAACAATCCAGCCGCCGAGGCCTCCCTACACTCCCTTCAACCCGCCACGCTCGGACATGGGCGCTACAAACACCATTCAGCACCCACCAAAACATCATTGCAACACATCCCTGGCAACCATGTGGAAAAGAAAACTCCTCAAAAGCGGCACAGTCAGATCTTCGGTGCATCTGACCGCCGCCATGTCTGCGGCCGCCGTCCCGAAGTCGCAAGAGTTCGCTGTGTCGGCGGCATCAGATAACTCGCACGCGGCGTCGGCTGCCGTTGTGGAACTCACAGAGGGGCTCGGGTTTGTGTTTAACGCCCCCGATGATGGTCTGCCTCCTGTTACTTCCGACTCCCATACTTTGTGTACTTGGTCACTGACTGCATTATGTCTCCCCAATAGACGAGGGAGACGACCTGCTACAATTCCACCTCGAAAAGCTGGGCGAAGAGGCGGCCAAGTATTGGCACAGTAGCGTCCCAGCGGAGATGGGCCGTCCATGGAGTTGGTAGGCGATCGATCCTCTTCCCTAACAAATCACTTTAGGGGCTGACAAAAGGTGCAGCTCCCATGACATGAGCAAGTTCCTGCAGGCAGCTTGCCGCTGTGCTTCACTTGTCTACGACTACCCAAGCCAGCCAACTTTCTCTAGTGGGCTAGAGCTGCAACCGATTATGCAACGCACGCCTTCTGTGACAGGAACGGTCAAAGCTACGTCAATGTGGAAGACTGTATCTGACCACCAGAAGATGACCTTGTTTGCTTCCGTCAGGGGGACGGCCAGCACGGTGGACCACGTGGTAAATTCCAACGGGGAGCCCAGGGACGTCGGTTCTCTTTTTGTACGTCGAAGACCTTACACTTGTCGACCAGTTAGGTGTTTAGGCACTAATACAAGTATCTTACTGATACGTGTGTTAGAAATTCGAAGGCATAGCAGGAACTAAAGCGCACACGGGGTTTCTGGCCTGCGCAAAGACGCTCATACCAACCCTAAAAGTGGCCATCGAACAACATGTAACGTCTGACAAACGGGTTGCTGAAGTGGTATTTACAGGGCACTCGGCAGGGGGCGCCGTTGCATCCCTCGTGTTTCTGCACTTTGTGTCTAATCCACCAGCCGAACGTCAGTCTCCCACCATTGACCCTTGGGTAGGCAGCCACTAACAGTTTATAAAGTGTCGAAAGTCAAATTCTCGCTGGTAACGTTTGGCTCGGGCCCTGTGACGGACATCAACTTGACAGACAACTGCAAACGTCTGCCTCAAGTAAACGTGGTTCTGGCGCTGGTCAACGAGTACGACCTCGTCACCCGGGCAGACAAGCCGTACCTCAACTCGCTCGTGGACCTGTACAGGTCCAGATACGGGCTTCCACCATTGCACACGCCGGCGCTCACCAGTCTCGCTGCACACGCCGGAGCAGCCGGGGTAAAGGGCATGTGGCCGCTACCCCCGCCACAGTTTCAGTTACTGGGGGACATTATCGTTTTGAAGAGTTGTGTAGGACCGGCGGGGGATGATGAGAGCGACGCCACCAAATTCGTGCATCACTCGCTTCAGCCTGTACGGCTTACCGCGGACGAGTTTGGCAGACTTTTGTTCTGCGACGTGGCGGTGCACCGCCGGGTGGTGTATCTGGAACGGATGGACATGCTTGCGAGGGTTGATGATACAGCTGGGCCAGCAGAGGGGAAAGATGTGCTTGTCAGGGAAGTGGAGGAGCTGGTAGGTATTCGTCGGGAGTAGTTTCTACGGCTCTCGAACTTGTTATAGCTTCGTTGGTATTGAAAATCCTAGATACATACTTCGAACACTGAACTTTGCACTTAAATATTGGTAGGCCGCTGCGAGACTGAAGGTTCACTGACCAAATAACCATATGCGTGGTACACAACAAACAAGGGGCGATAGAAAAAGGCTGGGGCTAGCCAGAGAAAGTTTTAGATCCTCTCCATCGGGAACCTGGGCATCTTACCCCGTGCACGTCTGGCGGCCTCAACGGCCCTGTAGTACATCACCTCCTCGCCCACTTTGTTGACGATGTCCTCCATCCCTTCCATGCCTTCTTCCCCCGCCTCCAGGACCGAGATCAGCCCCTCACAGTCCCAACACCCGCACACCCTGAACTCTGTCCCGTATCGTACCCTCCACATATCTTTCGTTGTCGCAGCCCCGTTCTGCAGCTTCCCTTTGGCGATGGAGTCGTCATGGTTGACAAACCGCCCCACCATTTTTATCGTGCCCTTTGCGTACAAGGAGCCTTGACACTGGTGCGTGTGCCAGGCCAGGTCGATGTCGAGCGTGGGGACAAACATCCTGCCGGGATAGACTCTCATCAGCTCCAGAAACTTCTCGTAGCGGCCTATACCGCGACGGAGAGTCGATGACACGAAGGGAGAGCGGATCCACAGGCGGTTGTTCATCTTGTCGATGAAGCTTGTCTGACGAATGACTGCATCTCGAAGTTGTGCAGCCAGGTCGGTTTCCGATGCACGTTTGAATTCGTCAAAGTACTTTTGTATCTCCGGGTGGCCCTCAATGGTGAACTGGGGGTCGGCTGCCGGGGCGTTCGCATCAACCGCGAGTTTCATCGCTGTTGCCCGGGGAACTGGTACGGCAAGGGGCCTTTCATTGTTTGGCTTGGTACTGTCTGTGCCGGTATTTAGATCCGGGACTGGGGGCCACCGCTCCAGAAACGCAAACAGGTCGGTTGACAGGGCTGTGTCGCTTTCAAACTTTGCGCTGGCGGTCTCTGGCAGGGTCAGGACCCAAGCGTTGGAATCGATCAGCTCGGCAACTTTCCTCCACGGCATGGCCATATTGTAGAGCGGTTTCCCGTGGAAATGCTTGAAAAAGAGAAGCGGGTTCAGCATAAGCGCGTGCCATACCATCAGCACGTCCACCGGCGGCAGGTAGAACTCTCTGGTTGTCCCCCCTGTCTCGCCTGGTTGTCTCTCTTGTAAAGTCTGGAGAGTCCTGCGCCAGACCAAAAACCGGATGACAGCAAACTCAACAAATGCAGGCCACTTTTTCTGCCGCTTCTCCCACAGCTTGGGATCTTTCAATGTTTTCTTGTCATAGTTGACGCCCGTCTTGGTTTCCCTCTCGGGAACAATGCCCATGGCGCCGTCTATCTTCTGACTCCGAAGGATCCGTTGACGGAGGACATAGAAGGTCTCCAAGAGTTCCAAGTGGGCGGCGCACTCGGAGATGGTCGGCAGTCTGAACCCCGTGGCCTTGTGGTCTGGGAAATCGGAGAAAAGGTCGGGCGACGGAATGACGGGTTGTTCGGACTTTGCCTCGGCCAATACGTACGGAAGTTTCTTGCCGCCAGTAAACGAACTGATGGTCGACTTGCCCCTGGTGTGCAGCGCCTGCATGTGGACCGGGCTGTCGAGTCCCATTTTGGCCGTCTCTGCAGTCTAAGTACCTCGGTAAGGAAGTAAGTAGGTAGGTAGACCGTACGTAGGTGGCGTGATTGTCAGAAAAGGACCTCTTTAGAAATAATTCCGGTGAATCAGCGGCGGGTGTGCTTATGGTAGACAAAATGAGAGCAAACATGATTTACTCGCGGTGTTGAGCATCTTGTGTGGCCGCCACTCAAAACGGTCGTTGGTTGGAGGCTGGAGGCTTCGAAGCTGAATCCAAATCGGGGCGGCTAAGTTAGACCGCATTCAAGTCGGGCAATCTGCCTTGCATGCCGCGGAGCCCGCGCTAGCCAGTATGTTGCATATGACTATTGCATGATGCAGACCGCCACGCGGGGCTCACAGCTTCAGCCTTCGGACCTCCTTTGCCATTGAATTTCAGTTCAAGAAGAAACGCCAAGTTGAGGTAGGTAATTTCTCACCAGACTACTTCCGTAAACACAACATACCGATGCCGACAAGATGGACGAACAAGGAACGACTGTGGTTCTGGGCGTCTACAGTGCCGTAGCTGTGCCCTCGGTGGTCTTTACTTTGATAGCACTCTGGAATAGGGAGCATTGGATTCGACAGCTTCGTATACTAGCTGCCGCGCCATACCTTATCCATGGGGTTGTTTCTGTTCATTTGTTTCATGGTATCCGACAGTCCGCCGAATTGGCATATGCGACGGACTTGCTTATCAGCGTGGGCATCAAGGCTTGTATTGTAGGTTCCATCTGGCAAATCATGGAAGCATTAAAGGACTAACACATCTAATGGCAGGGAATTCTACTACCAGTGTGGAGTTTTATCGCAGGCTACATCGCCCGCAACCGGTTGGCGGAAGACCGCAACTCAGGCCAAGTTTATACAGCGAGGAAGTCCAGCGGCTATCTCTACTTGTGTATCGTCGATGCTATCGTCATTGCGTTATTGGCTTTCTCGGTCGTTCTCGCCTACCGGTTTTTGCCACTGTCGCTTCACAGCTGCTGGGACTTGCGGGCCGAGAAAAGCACAAGAATCTTCTTCTATGTCAAAGAAGCAACGGGAGATACCAACAAGGTCGTCAGCTGCCAACGTGTATTAATGGTGCAGATCACAACCGTCCTGACCATGTAGGGGATTTCTCATTCTCCCTGTCATAGCTGAACTGGGAATACGAAATGCTAACGGCAACAGGACGATAATGATCCTTCAGGCCCTCCTCTTGATGCAGTTCGCGAGTCTGCCCGGCTTGTGCAGAGTGACCGTCATCTTCATCATTGATACCATGCGTGTTATTTTATGTCTCAACAAAACCAAACACCGCCATCACAGCATTGAGGAGAGGGACACACCGCCAGACGAACAGAAGAAGACCCTTGCGAATCTGTTTCGGAGCGACGGCGTTGCAGCTCAGCTCGTCGGCCATTTGCATTACCAAGACGTCATCAACGCGTCGTTGACTTCTAAAGCGACGCGGAACGCAGTCTTTTCCTTGTCAAAAAAGGGAAGCGGTGAGCGGGCAGAGCTGCTGGCAGTGAATGCCTGTGATGGAGGTCAGAAAGAGCAGTGCTGGGCTTGTGCGACCCTCGTCTGTCAGGCAAGTCATCTCCTTCAGTCATACTACCATCACTGAAACTAAGTAGGTGCTAACGGACAGTGGTCAGAGCTGTATGGTGTCCAAGAACAATGCAGAGGTCCCCAGAACAACAAAGCACGTGGCAGACTGCTATGCCATCTGCACCGGTTGCTACCTATTGCGCGGAGCTGGACAGCCCGCACCGCTGCTGGCGACTCTCTACCCTGAGAACCTCGCCCTGCAACGGCCGAGCTGTCCTGATTCTGCAATCGCCTTGCTACGGAGACCGGGGAAAATCCCACTGTGTTTGCACTGCGCTGCTCTTGATGATGACCAGATGACCGCCATCAGGGAGGAGAGAGAAACCAAATCACTGCGGATGGGAACCGCGTTAAGAAGGAGGATATACTGCGCGAAGTGCGCCAAAGCCCTCCCTGGAGACCGCAAGAGGTGGTGGTTGTATGACTGCGGGCCTGCAGGGCTAAAACACAGCCACGAGTGCCATTGGATCGGCCATTCCATCAAGAAGTAGCCTCATCTGAGTATAGCTATAACTACCCAAGGCCGAGAATTAGAATGTGCATTCAGCCGTCGGCAGAGATTGACCCAGTTCCACGAGTCCAAACCACAAGCGTGGGGTGGTGTGAGATAACAAGACAGGCTCAAACCTTGGTTGACCCAAATCTGCCTTGTACGCCCGATGCAATGCGGGTGGGCGGAGCACTAGCACGCCCAGGGGTGAGAGGCCGTTTTCGTTTCAGCTCGGCTCTCGTGCAGTTCTGGGTGATTGGTTGGATCAAGGTCATCACCGAATAACTTAACCTGGCAGTAACCGGGTTGCCCTTGATGATTGTGTCTTCAGCTCATGTTACGAAGCCAGCAGTCAACACGAATTTTGGTTCCCTACCCGCCGCACAAGTTGTCCCTCGGCGACGTTAACTAATGGCTTCACTCTTGTCTTGTCTCCCCCTTTCTAGCACCACAACCTCCGCATGTGTAACGTCCTCCGAATCCAGCTCCAGCCATGTGACCAACTCCGCCTCGATCCCGCGCGAAAGGATCGGCCCTGCCAATCTTCACCTCAGAGATGAGCTGCTGAAAATGTACTGGGACGGCGTACGCAGGGAGATACCGCCCATCCTGCTCACTCTGAAAAAGTGGCAACGGCAATACGCTCATGTCACTCTGCCAGTCGAAAAGGATCGGCACGTACACGGTTACGACACCTTTCTCGATGCTGTCAGCCATACCTCTCGCCGGTTTACTCACCGCTATGATTCTGCACACAGACAATCGGAAGAGGGACAGGGAGGGAAAGACAACCCGCCGTCGTACAAGGAGGCGCTGGCGGATAGGGGTTGGGATATCTTTGCAGAGTTGAAAAGCGCAAACATGAGGGGCGAGATCCGCGCCGCTCTTGCCTCTGAAGATACCTCTGAGGACACTCCAAGGATAAGGGCAAGGATGCTGCTGCAGAGTGCCCAGTTCCTCGACATCGACAAGGTCATCGAGTATCGGCCCCCAGAGAAGCTCTTTACCTTTTGGAAGCGCCCACCCACCCCTCAACTGAGCGCCCAATCGTACGACGAGACCAACATGCCCGTGTTTGCCTACCTGACCTGCTTTGACTGCCGCGCCATCATTCGTGGGTCTATGTTCCGCAGCCTCCAAGACGCAGAGATCACGGTGTGCGAGCAATGCTACAGAGACAAACACTATGGGCAGGCCTCGTTCACAAAGCTGCACAAGCAGTCGTGTCTCGAAGCTGCCGTCCCGCCAAAAGTGGCAAGTTCCATTTGCCAATGTGTTGGCGTGAAAAAGCGTGACAACACCGGAAAGACAAGGGCCCTATTTCCCATTGATGAGGCACAAGGCGGCGGCAAGCACCTCAACGAAGAAGGCAAGATAGGCAGACCGCGTTGCGGCCTATTCGAGCTGACGGAGATGGTGGCCGAGGCCAAGTATGCCGCCACCAGGCTAAAGGCAGACACGAGCCGAACGCTTAGTGATGAACGACGCGAGAGGGACGTCGAACGTCAAAAGAGAGAGGAGAAAATGGCAGCAGAGAGGGCTCGCTTCCAGTGGGGGGTTCCTAATAAACCGGCCAAGGTCAGAAACCCAAATGCGCTTCAGTTGGAGGCGACGCTTGGGGAGTTTGGGACCAGCTACGGGTTCACGACCAGCAACCACGAGGACATACCGTTCTATCTCAGGAGCATGGCCGACAACATACCCTGGGGGAATACACATCTGGCGTTACGGTTTGGGCCGTTGGTTATTGAGAATGGAGTTGCGCAGTATGTCCCGAGTCTTTCCTCCCTCATGCTCGTCATTGTGGCTTTGCAGGTGACTAACCTAAAGTTCTAAACCTAGCACCATGAGAGGTGCTCTGATTACGAGCCGTGACCCGCAGAGTCTGCAACCTTTCCATGTCCCACCCTGCAACATCCAGCATAGTCTGATCGTATCCGGCCAGAATGAGCGGCTCCTATATTCTCACAACCGGCCGCGCACCGTCAAGAGATACAAGGCCATGATGAAGCAGGTTGTTGGGGGGGCATTTTGCAACTTTTTTGACCCTGCCAGTGAAGACGAGCTCATTGATATGTTCATCGCCGAAAGTGAGCGGGTAGAGAATGAGGGCCTTTCTGTCACTGACAAAGGCAAGTTGATGGACGGCGCCGTCGAAAGGCTCATGCCCAGCTTAAAGAAGTACCTCGTCCTAAAGGTGGAAAATGTGATCGACAGTCTGGTCTCTCGATTACTGGAAGTCGATCTCAAGTGGCACCCGGAGAACAACAATTGCCAAAACTTCTGCGACGGCCTGATCGACAGGACTTTGTTCGGCCCACTAGTGTCCCCTGACAAGAAATACCTGATGTCGTTCGTCTGCCGGCCGGGCGCCTACATTAAGGAGAAAACACGATCCAAGTACGACGTGCCCAACGGACTGACAGAAGAATACCTACTCAAGTTCCACTACGGCCGACACGACGAGTCCGACATCATCGACACTCTGACCGAGTACTGGTACGACTGGGGTGCCTTCGGCGGGCCCTTGTACCCCTACCAAGACATCTTCCCCTGGGACTGCACCGAAGCCTACCAGCGATACCCCGGCGTTTGCGGCGAGTGCAACATCTCCAAGCACGTCTGGGCCTTCCCCTTCGACTCCTGGTCCATCATCTCCCTACACCTCTCCCGCAGCCGGTACCTCTACCCACGGGACAGCCACCCCGACGCCCAAAGCCCCTCCCTCCTCTCAAGTAACCACCCCAACGCTCCACCGCCCCCCACCGCCGGCACCATGAGCGACCACTCCTGGTTCCGCAACCGGCTGACCCTCCTCACCGCACAAGACGCGCTCCTCCGCGCCGCCAAAGCCATGGCCCTCTCCCCGCGCTTCCGCGAGTCCACGCTGTGGCTGCACCAGCAGGACGACGCGAGGCTGGACCGCCTCAAGCTCGGTGGCATCCACCGCGCGCAGCCCTTCTCGCACCACTTTGAGAAGGGCGCGTACCACCTGTATTTCGCCGCCGCGTGGTCGCACCTGGCGCGGGGGAGAAGGATGGAGGCATATGAGAGGCTGCGGGACTGGAGGGCGACGCGCAGGGATGTGGGGGCGGAGGGGGGTAATGATGACTCCGATAGTGGGTGTGGGGGGGTGTGGTGGGTGCGGGGTGTTTGGTTGTGGTGCGGGTGCGGCTGCGGATGGGTGTGGGGGTGAGCAGACGGGAGGGGATGTCTGCGGGACGGGGTGCGTGAGCCAGTGTGGTGGTGATGGCTGTGGAAGGAGGCGGCTGTGGTGGACGGCTTGTGGGGGGTGTGGTTGATGCTTTTGCGAGGGTTAACGATCTGAAGTACCACCTCCACTCTTGGGACTAGATGTATCTAGGAGAGGCACTAGATATATACCTGGGAATGAGGTTGTCCTGTCATGCATCTGCGATCTAATCCCGCCCCTCTCAGCATCAATCATCCGACTAGTATTTTGAGGGGCATGTGGGTAGGCAGGACACTGTTTCTATATCAACACGTTGTAGAGGCAAGTAGCGGACTGATGTGGGTGACAAATTGGCCCTGGAGATTGCCGACATATGGGCGAAGTACATGTATTGAGTCGATTTATGGGGCGGGCTTTCGGATTTGGCATTCCCAAAGACAATTGGCACGCGATTCGAACATTATTGTCTCGCCCTAGGTGCCAGGATAATGTAACTAAGGTAGTGCGTGGAAACAGGGACATCATCCCTCCCGTCAACCCCCGCGGCCTACATGTATGTATGTAGTAATAATTTTGTCCCGTTCAGGCATACTGGTACCTAGAGAAGAACTTCCACAGCAAGTAAATACCACACCTTTAATCGAGTAATACGATGGTTCTCTGTAACCCTTCCATCAGTCGGACCAGTCGGGTGGAGACTTGGGCCAGCACGCGTAGTCGACCACATCCTCCCAACGAAGCATCTGATCATCATCCGAGTCGTGCCCGTAGGTCCTTTGCGCCCATGTCCACCAATTTTTGTTCCTCCCACTATCGCCCTTCCTCCCCTGCGGAGTCCTCCAACCCTTTTTCGCCTTCACACCCCAACGCATCGCCGCCCACGCCTTCAACTGGTCCGGATTCTCCAAGCACCACAACACAAGCTCCCTCGTCGCCAGCACATCCTCCAAACTATCATGCGACTGCCCTTCCCCCCCACGAATCCGCATCCCCAATAACTCCCTACACAACTCCTCCAGCCCCGCCCACCACTTAATCTTCCTATGTACCCCACCACCCCCCGCCACGCCCCCAAACCTCCCGGACGCCTCCGCCGCCAGCACCGCCGAGTCCACCACCCGCCCATGCACAATCCCTAACGCCCTCAAGTCAAACCTCACCGCCTGCCCCACCACTACCGTCTCCCCATCCACAAACCGCAACACCGCCTCGCGCGCCCCCTCCCGCCCCGCCAACGGCTCCCCATCTCCACTGCCTGCCCTCCCCGCATCCGCGATCCGCGCCGCCCCAATCCCCGTGATCCCGCTCCGCCAGTCTTGCACCACCACCCCCGCCCCCGGCCGCACCAGCGCGTCCACCAGCACCGCCCCCGTGAAGAAATCCACCACCGACACCGCGATCGGGTAGTCCCCCGCGGATGTGCCGGCCATCTCGCAGTCGAGCACCACCGCTGCCGCTGCTGCTGTGTGGTGGTGGCGGGGCGGGTTGTTGTTGTTGTGGGGGTCGCGCGGCGGCGGGGCGATGGTGGCGGGCGGGCGGGGGTCCAGGTCGTAGCCTTCGATGGAGAGGCGCTTGCGGGTGTGGCAGCGGGCGAGGAGGAGGGGGTGGAGGGCGGTTTGTTGGGCCGGGGTCAGGGTGGTGTAGGTTATGCCGCGGTGGGTGAGGCGGGGCGGTGCGGGTGCTGTTCCTGTTGTTGCTGGTGTTGGCGTTGGTGTTGCTTGGGGAGGTTGGGGGATGGTGGCTGATGGGGGGGTAATGGAGAAAGGGGGGTTGCGCTGGCCTTGGGGTGGGGATGGTGCCGTTAATGGGGGCAGGGCCGAGTGCGCCGGTCTGCCCGATTTGCAGTATTAGGAGCTGTTGTTGGAGAACGGCGATGCGGCGGGAAAGGTCGTGGGCTAGGATGACTGCCTCGGGAGGAGGCTGGGCGGCCTGGACATGTTGAAGAGCCTGGACGGGAAGATCAAGTCGTTGTTCCGCCGAAGGGTGGAGGCGAGCCGATGAAATTGTCCATGCCTTTGGATTAGGATGAACTGGCCCCTGGGGCTTTCCGGGAAATTTGATGTGAGCCGGGGAATCTTTCTGGTGCTGCTGAAAGCTCTGTTGAGATTTGAAGACTCGGTTGCATGGTTTGCAGTAGGCATGTTGGGTAGCCTTAACATGCGCCAGGCACGCATCCTCGCTGCTGAAAGCTTTTGCACAAATGGCGCAGTGAAAGGACTTTGGAGCCTTTGGTTTCTTAGCCATGACTCTTTACTCCCATATAGACCGTGACGGAGGTGAACAATAAACCCTTATGGATGTTGGGGCCGGATTAGAGTCAGGCAAACACACATATCCTCCGAGGACGTTGACATGAGCGAGGTTAGGAGGCACCCATTTTTTCCACGTAATCCACCTAATCAAGCAAGATATCGTTGGCGCTTGTTTCATTGGCCGATGCCTCGGCTTGGGGCTGACCCGAGCGAAGCCAGGGTAACAAGGCGCTGCGGTAGGCCTCACTGCAGATAGCTCAGAATCAAGCGGTTGTCTATTAAGTATGGAGGGACGGCGGCACGCTAGCCGCTTCCGTCACCCGGGCATTTAAAGGCCAACGTTGTCATCTTTGGTATATCCACGTTTATCTTGGGTATCTTTACCTGGGTACCTACAGAGCAATACCCTCACGGCCGTTCATCCACCGGTTGGAGATTGGGGAACAAGCAACCTTGGTGCCGATGTTCAGTGGGTAAAATGAATAAGTTTGAGGAAGTTCTATATGAGCCTTCATCCACGGGTGTTACAAGATCCCTAAGGAATGTCCTCTGCAGTAATGTTTCGCCTGTACGGTAGTCATACAACAGCGCGGCTACAATTGACAGGAAGGTCGGGGCTGTTTCCGTAAAGCAAACAGCAATAGCCTCGACACGGGAAATACCTGGATTGTTCCATTTCGAGGATAACGGGGTTAGGAAAACGACGGTAAAGCCCGCTATCGACCTCTCGAAGCCTTAGGTACCTAGGTATGATTGTGAATTCGAGAAGTAGGGGGTCAGTGGGTTGATATCTGGTTCAAGGTTGGTTTCTTACGGTTACAATTGATGCAAAGTTCGCTCAAAGGACAAATTTAACTGCTGGAGAACACAAAAAGCGATACGGACATAGACAAGGAGGCGGCCACCAAAGCTCTCGTCACGAGTCGATAACGCGCAATGGGGGCTTGGGATGCGTCGAGGCGACACCACGTGCACGCAAGGAGGGAGGCCACCAACACAATAGGTACCCATTGCCTCACACATTTTATGGGACGATGCGGTGATTCCTTGGTCCGTATTGCAAAGAGTATTAACAACGCGGCAACTTTGCGGTGTGTCTCAAGTTGAGCCTAGAGGGGTGATGGACAAGCGGGCAAGACGGGCGAACAAATGGGTGTCGGAGGTGGCGGTAGTGAGGTATATGAGCATTCCGTTCCGACAGATCTCTCAACGGGAGCCGGTTTCCGTTTTGAGATCTGCGGTAATGGGAGGTCCGGATCATGACGACTCCCGTCACGAGTTGTTGACGAGCGGCCAGGTAAGCAAGGGTACGTACTATAGCCGTGCCGCCCAAGTCGGTTGCTGATGAAGGTCATTCGACACACTCGGGCGGCAACAGTTGAATATTCCCCAACATCCGGACCTAAACCCGTCGTTTGGCGGCCCAGGGCCCGAGTTGGGGCCTCCGACGCCCGCGCCTCAACCCTGCACTGTTTTGAGCCAACGGCACGAAAGACCTCCCAACCCAAGCATGACCTTACCCAGATTAGTTCAAACTCCAAGTTTTAGATACCATTTTCAACAACCAACAGGTCAAGGTCGAGCCCCTAAGCTGAAAATCCGACACTGGAAGACACTGCAGTCACCTAGAACATGGATGGTGGGTGATATTCAAGGTTATTTTGGGAACCAACCTGCGATTTTAGGGCCTGGGCCTGCTGAAACCCTCTTTCATTGTGTCTTTTACGCGCAGCAATGCTCCCAGCCGCGTGGGCAATGTGCCAACACCCCAAACACTTGCACATGTAACCACATGCAACCTACCTGTCGACAAATGGAGTCCCGAGGCGCACCCTTAACCACCGCCACAATCATGCCAGGCCGCTACGAAAGGCCTAGCTAGCCCGGACCTGAGAGCAGGTTGTTTCTGGATTTTTCTAGAGCCGTTGGTTTCACTCACTTCCCTGTGTGCAGAAACCACGTGCTCGTCTAGAATACGTATTAAGTGTGCGCTAATCAACTTGGAACCCCCATTATCGATGTACCTTGTCCATTGTCATCTCTCTTCTCCTGGATCACTCATCAGCCTGTATCCCCTTTGCTAACCCTTCCCACTTCTGTATGCCCGTGTATCTTTTGATAATCATATCCTTTGGTCTGTAACCTCTGGGTTACGTATTATTCGGTCTGTGTTGTCCCATGCCGTCTTCCCACTTGACCAACTTCAATGTGTCCAAGGGCAATATGCAATTCCCTGGATCAAGTCATGGGTGCGACAAAGGGGCTGATGAGACAAAACATCCTTTTCTTACACTACTACCTGTCACAAAGCTCTGCTCGGGGCTCCACCTGTATAAGGTACTTGCGAAGACGAAGAATCGGAAAATAGAAATCTTACGGCGGGATACATGTTTTCAGAGTCCATATCCCAGTTCCCTGTCTCTCTTTGATTCTTATACATACACACCCCCAGGCCATTTGAATTCATGGTTGAAGAGGCCGGATGACCGGGATTTTCCCCTCAAATGTCTCCGCAGTGCTCTCGAAAACATCCTCAATTGGGGTGACCAGGCTGTACCCCATATGCAGCTTACTACATCTATTAGGCTGTTGTCTACTAAACAACAGCCTAACGACTCTTCTATCCTCCCCCCAAACGCCTGGATTTAACTACTTACGTTGTTGATCAAATTCAACCGAATTGACGGATCTGGCTGAGGAAAAAGGAGGTGCGGTAATCGAGGAAGGGGGCGCCCGTCGATGCGCCGTCTCGTCCTCTGAATGTTGTTCCGTCAGAACACGCCGCGCACACACATGTCCCATGAACAACGAACAACGGGTGGCAATGGAAATGGCCTCGACCCCGTTATCCTCTAGGGTTGTTCATGGCCTGTGTTTTTGTTCTTTAAGCCCAAATCCATTGTCCCGTAGTGTGATGTTCAAAGCTCTAGGGCCACGGATGGACATATCTAAAGCCCCCGACCTCCGTTGACTCGTTTGCCGTTATCTTGAATGTCAACCATCTGTGTCTGCCTCGACTCCTCTTGGGCAGGTAACTATCTTCCTGTTCTCCCTGCCCCTTTTTGTTCCATGCTGATTCAATTTGTTTAGAGTTTCTTCCACTTCTTGCTTTGTCTTTTGGCTGTCTGAGCCAACCCTCTATTATCCGCTTCATCCGCCGACGCAGCCATGTCTAACTCTCAGCCAATATGGAACAAGCAGATAACGCTGTACGTTCTCAACGGGCAAGTGCTGCCGCGGCTTCCGAAACCTGAGGTGCGTGTGACCTTCAAGGGGACAGCGTGTATCCCAAAAAACTTCCCACGCCTCGAGAGGTACCTGGACACTCTTGAACGGATAGCAAAGCCGGTTGCTGAGGAAAATGGCTGGGACGAAGTTAAAATTAGGTATGTAATTGTTTATCCGCTTTTTGCCCCTTTTCTATTCCTCCCTGGTCACGAAGCTAACAACGATCAAGCTCTGCTATCCATAACACCACGACCAAAGGTACCCACAAATGGGGACAAACCACAATTCTCGCCTGGTGCGAGGCACACATCACCGCCAAGATGATATCCTGGAGACTCAACCATATCCTTACCATGCCATCTGATCCCAACATTCCAAGCCCGCAGAAGTTTGAGGAAATAAAGCAATACATGCTCCCTGCCGGCTTCCCCTTCTACGTCCTGGAGGTCAGAGGGCTGAGCAGGAAGTCTAAAAGGATGCTCACCCCCAACAAAAGATATGACAGCAATCACAAGACATGGGTAAGCCGGTCTGCACGTGGAGTTGGAGAACGAAGGCGAGTAAGGTAACGGCAGCGGCCCAGTGACCTCCAGCAATTTCAAGGACAAGTTGTCAAAGACGCCAAATTGATCGCCCCGGCTGTGGCATCATCGTGGGCTCACGGCATGAACGAAAATAGGAGGTATTCTGGGTCACGTTGGAGAGGAAATGCCGTCGGTGCGCTCCATCTTGGATACCGAGTTTGAGACAACCTCCTCACTTAGCCAATGGCTACTCAGGGAGGCGCAGGTGCCCTGCCCTTTACACATGGGAATCAATCAGGCAATTTGATCACTGCTTCTGAGTCCTCAGTATCTGTGACCTGCGCTGCACTACATGCCTGCACTCTGGCTGTTGGATTTCCAACAGGATGTGGATCCCTTGTTCGTATTCGTATTCGCGGCGGGTTACACATCCCCGACATATCCACCTGCCACACAAAAGACCAAGCAACAAGATACCCAATCAATACATATACTCATACATCTCTCTTCTCATTTCCGTGATATCTACTAAAAACTCTTTTTCCACATTTTCTCTCGCAGAACTCTCTTCCATGCTCCGCTTGTATGTACTTTCCCCCCAACAATACACACGATGTCACCCGCGCTTCACCCCGTGTCCCCTTTTCAACTCACAGTTCACCCGTTTCCATCTCCAACTCATAACTCCTGCGCCTACGAAAGGGGTCCCTCCTCGGCCAAAAACGCCCTAGTTTTTATCGGCGGACTCACCACCGGCCCGCATGCGACGAACCTCACCGTCCTAGCAAAGGCCCTAGAACAGTCCGCCTTAGACTACTCACTCTGGGAATTCCACATGCGGAGCTCGTACTCTGGTTTCGGATACTCCAGTATTGCCAACGATGTCGAGGATACAGCTGCGCTGGTGAAGTATCTCCGCGGCATTGGCAAGGATAAAATCGTCCTGATGGGCGCATCGACTGGTACGCGTGGCCCAGTCTCGTTCACACGACAAAGGTCCAAGCCCACCTACATCTCCAGGCTGCCAGGACTGCCTCGAATACACCGACCGCAACAAGTACCAGACGCCTCCAGTGGACGGCTACATCCTCACCAGCCCAGTCTCAGACCGCGAGTCTATCGTCCTATTCATGTCCCCCGAGGAATCCGCCAAGAGCCTCCAGGTGGCTAAGGACATGATCGCGGACGGCCGAAAAGACGAACCAATGCCAAAGCAACACCTCCCGTTCGTCTTCACGACGCCAGTCACCGCCTACAGATGGCACTCGCTCGCCGCCAAAGGGTACGTACACCCCCCCAAAACCAACCAACCAAATCCCAACCTCCCCCCACCACCCATCCACCCATCCACCCATCCACTCCCACCCCAACACCCAACAAAACTAACTCCCCCCCCTCGCAGCGGCGACGAAGATTACCTCTCCTCGGACCTCCCCCCCCGCCACCCTCGCGGCGACGTTCGGCCGGCTCGACAAGCCCGTGCTGATCCTGCCCGCGGGCGACGACGAGATGGTGCCGCCCGGGGTGGACAGGCAGGCACTGCTGGAGAGTTGGGTGGCGGCGTGCAGGCCCGGCGTGGTCAGCGACTTGTCGGGGTTTGTGCCGGGCGCGGATCATGCGCTGGCGAACGCTGGGGCGTGGGAGTGGGTGGCGCGGAGGGTGGAGGGGTTTTTGGAGGGGGTTTGAGATGGAAGGTGGAGGGACAGAGGTGGGGAGGGAGGGGGATATGTCACGTGTGCGAAGATACTTTGGAGTGGTGGGGATGGCTGGGTTCGTGTGTGCCGGGTTCGTACTTGGTAGATGATATATATGCATTGGTTTGGTGCGCTGAATATGCTGGCCGACTACCTGTCCGTGCTGAACTATCCGCAATCAATCCCTTCTAACCAACACATCCATACCATATCTCATCCTCTTTGCTAACCACAAAAAGCCGGCAACTCGTCTTCACACGGCAGCTCCTCCATCCTAGGCCCCTCCCTCAACAAACACGTACAGGATCCGCCACGGCGCCGGCTGATCCAGTAACGCGAGGGTGGGTGCTGGTTGACTGCGTCGTAGACCGGGTCCTCGATCGACTGCGGCACGGGGTAGAGCGATATGTTCCATTCCTGGCAGCGGCTCAGGGCCTGCTGCCAGGGCATGGGGGTTGGCATGTAGCGGACGGTAGAAGTTTGGGCGAGGGCGGGTGAGGCGAGGAGGATGGTGAGAATCGCGGTGAGTTGCATGGTAACTGGGATTGTGGAATTGGGGGGTACCGCGGTGCGTGTTTTGGGGGTCAGGAGCTTAGTTGACGAGGTAGGTGGCTAATGGAATGGATGGCGGTTGATGGGCAGGTGTTCAAGAACGGACAAACAAGTCGGTCAGGTCCAGTCACAGCAAAGTTTAACTCTAAAGGGGCAAACTTCTGAGACTTTAAGAACCTCTGCTGAACTTTTCCTGACCCGCCTCACCACCGAGCCGGCGACCGAGTGCAGGGAGGGTTACATCCCGGCGAGAAGTTGTCCCGACGATGTGCCTTCATGCGATAAGCAAACTCAAGACGACGAGCCTAACCCATCCGGTTCCATCCAAACTCTCCTCTGGGTCCGTCAGACCATATCACTCCGCGGAGTCTGCAGTTCCGGAGTCAACCTAAATAGTAAGCTCCGAGTGAGAGAGCCGTCTCCAAGCATGCTTGGCGTCCAGCGGGGCCTTTCCTTATGCGCCCGACACCAGACGGCCCCCAGTAAGAGTGATTTGATGGCCTAGCCTAGAGAAAGTCCGCGGTGGATATGTAACGATGGGCTGGGATGTTGGTTGGGTTGCGCTCCGTGTGGGACCCGCCATCAGATCGACAACTTTATTCTGTCCACCACACACATACCGACGTTGCCGCGATGTTGTTGCTTTCACGCTATTCCCAAGAATTCGGGATGGGGTCTCAAGGTATCAGTTAGTATTACATGATACTCGAAAGCCCGGAATAAAGGTTGAGGCGACGCCAATATTTTTAACGCCGATGCCGGTGCGGTCGACGGTATCGCCATGTCTCTGCCCTAGCTCCGTTGATCCTTTTGTGCGGCCACGACGTCACCTCGTCATACCATCTTCGAGTCCACCCGCAAATTCGCGTCGGTCGCCGAAAGTCGCGGTTTTGATCGGCAGATCGGGTCCTGCGTGGACGGGTACTGTAGCCGTAGCCGAATCCGGCGCACCGCTCAGTGGCTAATCCCGGCACTGGTTACAAGAACAGGGAGGGGCCAGTATTGTTAATACACGCCGAACCCTCCTTGAAATGTCAGTATGCGAAAGTGGTAAAGCAGTCACAATTGATGGTGTCGGTGAGCTGCGGAAGATTTCAATCCCGACACCCGCCTCAAGTACCGACTCCATTACGACCGCGACCGAGGTTGCGGTGGCTGTGGGGAAGGCGTCGTGGGACAAGGGTGGGGTCGTCGATGACGGGATCGTGGGCGTTGCCGACGGCAAATGACATCCAGTCAACCACTCAAAAGCCATGTACGCCCTCAAAAAGGCGTTCTCTGGAACAGGAACATCACCCTTGCATTCTTCCCGACTCATTCAGAAGTTAAGCACGTCAACCATGTCCCGCCCAGTCAAGGTCGCCGTCCTCGACGATTACCAAGGCATCTCCGAGCCCAAGTTCAAGGCCCTAGATGCCTCCAAGTACGATGTCTCTTTCTTCAAGGACACGCTGCCCCCATACAACCACCCGAATACGACCCAATATGCCAAAGACAAACTAGTCACCCGCCTCGAGCCCTTCACCGTAATCTGTATAATCCCTTCTCGATTCTCACCTCTGTCCTCCCCACCCGCACCCCCAATCCCAAACTAACCACCCCAACCAGCCACCATGCGCGAACGCACCCCCTTCCCCCGCGATCTCATCTCGCGCCTGCCCAACCTCCGGCTCCTCCTCACAACCGGCAACCGCAACCTAGCCCTAGACCTCGAGGCGCTACGGGCACGCGGGATCCCCGTGGTCGGGACCGGCCACCGCGCGCCCGCTTCCGGCGGGCCGCCCCTCGCGGACAGCACGACGGAGCACTGCGTGGCGCTGGTGCTGGCCGCGGCGCGCAACCTGGCGCAGGACGACGCCGCGGTCAAGGCTGGCGCGTGGCAGACCGCCCCCGCCGTGAGCCTGCGCGGCAAGGTGTTTGGCGTCGCGGGACTGGGCCGTCTGGGCGCCGCCGTCGCGAGGATCATGAGTGTCGGGTTTGGCATGCGTGTCGTCGCGTGGAGCGAGAACCTCACGCAGGCGCGCGCGGATGAGAAGGCGAGGGAGGCGGGCTTGCCGGTGGAGGATGCTGAGGGGCGGAAGACGTTCGCGGTCGTGGGAAAGGAGGAGTTGTTCCGGTCGGCGGATGTTGTGAGCTTGCATTTGGTGTTGTCGGATCGCTCGCGGGGGATTGTGGCCGCGGCGGATTTGGAGCTGATGAAGCCGACGGCTATCTTGGTCAATACGTCGAGAGGCCCGCTGGTGGTGGAGAAGGACTTGCTGGGTGTGCTGGAGAAGGGCGGGATCCGGGCCGCGGCGCTGGATGTGTTTGATCTGGAGCCACTGCCCCTCGATAGTCGGTGGAGGACGACAAAATGGGGTCAGGATGGGCGGAGCCGGGTGTTGCTGACGCCGCATATGGGATATGTCGAAGAGGCCACGCTGAATTCGTGGTATGACCAACAGGTTGAGACTCTCCAGCAGTGGGAGAAAGGCGAGGAGCTGGCACAGCGACTGTGCTAATGAGATGGAAGCTCCCGTCACAAATTATTGCCTGCTAGCTCAATAAAGGATACCTAAGGAGCCTCAGCATGAAATGAATCGAGCAGAAGGCTCGTGGCTTTTCCAGTGGGCACTTGGATACAAACAAGGAATGCAAAGGGGCGGGCCCATTCACAGCATCTTTATTTTTTCACCCGATTTTAACATCTTGCACATAACACAATATTGCACTTTGTGGATGCCAAAGGTGAATTTCCTCTCGCCTTGGAAATCAGGAGTTAACAAAGCACCTGCTCTTACCTCTTTGTTCCCGTTCCTTCCAAGTTCAAATTTCGTCCCGTTCCAGAATGCACAACTTCTTGTATTTGGCTGCCTGGTTCGAATCACTCACTTGTAAAATACACAACCGACCGCGTTCCTTTCCATGATAAGACGCGTCCTCTCCAATCCCAACCATTCCTGTCAACTCCTCTCCTCCAACCACCCACCCGACAAGATATTCTCACCTCTTCCGCCCTTGAGTTTAATTCCTCGCATCGCTTCGCAGCCCTATTACCGACTACATATTGGAAAAGTGACTGGTAATCTGCACGCCCTCATTTCAGAAACATTGGGAGTTCATGCAGTCCGCCATGGCCGAGCCTGGAGTCAAACCGGAAGCCGGTGAACCGAGTACCTCACCGGCGCTCCCCGAGGTACAGCCAAAGCCCGACGAGCAAGCTATTTTATCCCTAATCAAAGAAGTGAAACAAGAACTCCAAGGTAAGTTGTCCCATGGTTCCAGGGTTGGGCCTCACTAACTATCAACAGGGATCACGGGGCCTGGCACCACCCATCAAACCACAAATCAGGCTCCCTCGTGTTTGTCTTCCCCCTCGGTTTTGTTTGAAACTTTACTGACTAATTCAGACGACCCAAGAGAGATCAATAGGACTCGCTTCCCGCGCGCCCTCTACAAAACACCCTCAGCTCCTCGTGCGGACACCAGCCGTGGCCCCGGAAGTTCCGAAGCCAATACTTCTCACCGCTCGCGGGGTTCTTCTGCTCAGATTCAGAGCAGCCCGTTAAGTTCTTCCAGAGATCGCCTCATGGAAGTACAACTACGCCTCCGTCGGGAACGCGATGCCCGCACCGGCCCCCGTGGCCCGACCGGGGCCGGGGCTGGGCAACTAACCGCGTCGAGGGGCGGTCGAGGCACAGGCAGGCCAGATCTGTATCCGGCGCCCGGCTGGCAAACCTCTGCCAATAGCAATTCTTATAGACCCTATCGCAATGGCCAATCTGGCCCTTATTCGAGTGTTGTGGAGCGCCTATCGAGAGAGTGCCAGATGCGCCATTTCAACCTGGAGTGGCAATTTCAAACGTTTCGAAGCGGAAAATTCACATGCCACGTGAAGCTGCGCGATTATATCGTTATGGGCAACGGGGAGTACAAATGCAGACAGACCGCAAAGGCGGCAGTCGCCCGCAGAGCTCTCGCCGTTGTTCAAGCTTGGCCTCTCGATAGTTACTGGCCGGAGCCAACTTATATGCCGGCCAGATCACAAGCCCATATGGAAGTATTTCGGGAGGGCCGGAGCGGTCCGATCGTAAAACAAGAGGGCCCCTCCCTGATGAGCGCCCCGGGCCATGGTGCCTTGACAGTCATGGCTCCCGAGCGCATGCGATCCGAACAGCAGGCCGCCGTACTCGGCCAAATGGGTAGAGCCATGGGCATTCCGGCCCCCGAGTCGTCAAGGACCAATTTGGAGGCGACGCAGGCATTTCTTGAGGGCGTGGCTGTGGGCACTCGTCTCGCTGGCGCAGGCGTCTCGGGGTTCTCTATGCGGGACAGATCCCGGTCACCGGCCAACTTCGGGCGCCCCTCCCCGAGCGCCTACCGGGCCCGTTCATCGACTCGCGAGAATGGGAGGCTGAACTCGTATCCACAAAACCGCCGGCCGGCTATGTCTCCTAGCCGCTTGCCTGCTCGTGAGCATGGTAGGCTGACCCCGCCCTCTGTGCACGACCGGTGGGTGCATGACCGATACCGGGATGATAGCCGGCCTACGCGCAACTAGGAAGGTGGCGAGGCGGAGACAGCTTGGGCCGGATTGTGGCCCACCAACATGTAACAATTGCAAGGCCCCTTGGGATGTCAGGCCTAAGTCATCATAGCTATCGCTGTTGTTATGTTGGGAAGGGAGTGGTGTATCGTCCCCTGGGATGACACCAGGATGGATATCTACGGGACATCAACAGGCGTATCGCAAGGCTGGGCACTTAGTCCAGCCTCATGAACAGCAGCGGTGTATCAGATTTGTAGGACAATCCAGCAACTGCGTCTCCCCATCGTGTGATAAAAATGTTCCCATAACAAGCCACTCTTCCCATCATCCTAGAAATACAACACCCCCCTAAACCCTCCCACCGCAACATCACAGCTTGCTCGGCATCCGCGTCGCTCCATCCAACCGAATCACCACCCCATTCAACATGACATTCTCAATCGCCTGCCGCACCAACGAGGCAAACTCCTCCGGCTGGCCCGGCCGCGCGGGGAACTCCATCGCCTTCTTCAGCCCCACGCGCACCTTCTCCGACATATGCGCCGTCATATTCGACTCGAACATGCTCGGCGCGATCGTAACCACGCGAATCCCAAACCGCGCCAAATCCCGCGCCATCGGCAGCGTCATGGCCGCCACGGCCCCCTTGCTCGCCGCGTACGCCACCTGGCCCATCTGCCCCTCAAACGCCGCCGCGCTCGACACCATCACCACCACCCCGCGCTCCCCATCCGGCCCCTCCCCCGGGCCCCGCCCCAAGATACGGCAGCACCTGCCGCACCAGATCCAACGTCCCCGCAGATTCACCCCCAGCACAAAATCCACCTGCCTCCAGCCCCACCGGCTGCAAGTCCCGGTCCAGCACCAGCCCGGGCAGCCCCACCCCCGCCGCGAGGGATCACCCCGCCCAGCGGCTTGCCGCTTTGGGTCGCCCAGGCGGCCGCCGCTGTCACGGCCGAGGTGATGCTGCTGGTCGAGGTCACGTCGCAGGGGAGGAAGAGAGCGTGCGCGGCGCCGAGTTCTTGCACCAGCGCGGAGCCCTGTTCCGAGTTCATGTCGAGGATGGCCGCGTGGCCGCCGAGTGAGCAGATGTCACGGGCGCAGGCGCGGCCGAGGCCCGAGGCGCTGGGGTGAGGGTTAGTGAAGGCGTTGGGGGGGTTAGGGGGTGGGTTTGGTGAGGGGGGTAGGGTAGGGAGGTTGGGGGCTGGTGGTTAAAGTAGGTAAGGAAGGAGGAAGTTGGGGGTTGATGGGGATTGGGATAGGGAAGTGGTGGTGGTGGTGGTGGTGGTGGTGGTAGTGGTGAGCTTGGGGAGCTTACCCGCCGGAGATGATAAAGGTTCGGCCTGATATCTTCATTTTGGGGGTCTGTGGTGTGTAAAGTGAAGTGTTGGGTTTGGGGGTGAGATTCACAGTTCAGTGGTGTGTCGTTGTTAAAGTGCATGCGCATGCTCCTGCCGGGATGTGCCGTTCAATGGCCGGGTCCAATGCCGCCCATCCCCACTGCCGATATGGGGAAATGCATGGGATACCTCGGCTGCAAGTCAGACCCCGGTTTCTCATGCAGGGTGCGGTGTAATCTATACGTAAATTACGTGCTCTTTCGGAATGATACTCGGGATGGAGTTTGAGATTGGTAAGAACCGCGCCACATGTTGTTGGTTGGCTGCGCTGCCTGTGACGGGCCCCACAAGTTACTGGGACTCGGGTCCCTTGTCATGCAGGCAGGCCCCGACGGCATCCACTCAGATAACACTTGAGCAACATCACGACGACGAGCAATTAGGAGAGACCATGACATAACGCGCCGCGAAGAACCGAGAACGATAGGCGCACCACCCACGGAGAGCAGCGACCGACAACCGATACTCGACCACCCGCGCGCATCATTACCTCAAGACCAAACCCAATAAACAAACCCTTATCGATCACGCATGAGCGGCTTCGAGCTACCGGGCATGACGCGCCCGCGGGGGTCGTCGGCCGCCAGCGACGACAGCGCGGGCACGGTGCGAGAACAAGAGCTGGGGAGCATGTACGATTACCTGGCAAAGATAATATTGGTAGGACCGAGTGGGACAGGCAAGTGAGTGGCCATCGCACCGGCACTCCCGGCATCAACTGACAGAACCCAGATCCTGTCTCCTACATCGCTTCGTCAAAAATGAGTGGCAGGTCCTTGCCTCGTCGACTCTAGGCGTAGAGTTTGCAACCAAAATCGTCAAAGTCGGCTCGGGGTCACGGAGGCGGCGGATAAAGCTGCAGGTACTTATACTCTCCACCCCCTCCCAACACTTGAACCCCAGATTTCAAACCCCAGACCTTCGGCCCGTCAACCACAGCTAACAACCCTCCCTCTCCCCACAGCTCTGGGACACGGCAGGAACAGAACGCTTCCGATCAGTATCACGATCCTACTACCGCGGCGCGGCGGGGGTGGTGCTCATCTACGACGTGACGTCGTACTCGTCGTTCCGCGACCTGCAGCCGTTCCTCAACGACGCGCGGGCGATCGCGTCGCGCAACCTCTCGCTGCTGCTGGTCGGCAACAAGCTCGACATCTCGGGCGACCCGCTCGTCGACACGGGCGTGCCGCCCCCCACCCCCGGCGGGAGCATCAGCTCGTCCACCGCCCCCTCGTACGCCAGCACCCCCGTCCCGTCGTCGTCTTACTCGTCCACCTCCACCATCCATCCGGGCTTCGGCGCCCAGCTGCGCGCTACTGTTGCACCTGACGGCCGCGAGGTCTCCACCGCTGAGGCGAGTCGTTGGGCTAGCACCGTGCAGATCCCCGTCACGATGGAAGTCAGTGCCCGCAGTGGCGAGGGCGTGGATGAGGTTTTTGGGCGCCTGGCGAGGATGATTCTGACCAAGATTGAGCTGGGCGAGATCGACCCCGATGATTTGGAGAGTGGGGTCCAGTATGGGGATTCCGGCGCGATGTGGAATACCGAGGCCAGCGACGGGGGCAGTATCAAGAGCACGATGACAGGGGATGATGTTGGGCGGAGGAGGAGAAAGGGGAGAGGGGCTGGGCAGGGGTTGAGGGAGTGGGAGGAGGTGTTTACATTGACCGCGAGGAGGCGGAATCGGGGGTGTTGTTGAGGATGCGGCTGCTTGATGATACCATATTTTACTTAATATTGGCCGGCTGGGCGTAATGGAGGAGGCTTGGGGACGTTGTAGTCGGCCTGTGGGTTTAGCGGCGGCTTGGTCTTCTATGCAGGGAGTTGGCCGGAGATAGACGGTGCTTTCGGAGACCCGGATAATGAACTAACTTTTACTTTGGTCGCGAATGACGGCGGGGTGGGGCTTATCAGGAGAAAGAGAAGCCCCAGTATACTTCCTACAAGTATATAAGCAAAGGAACGGTGATCCAAGTATAAGGTATCACTGCTTCCTTGAGCGTACCTAAGCAAATTCGCCGCACTCTCTTCATTTATGCATTCAACACTGAGGATACCGATGACCGAACCCCGTGGACCCGGGTGGCTGAGTGAGGACTTGAGACAACTGTAAGACCATTACGAAATGACGTGAATAATAGTAAAGAAAATAAAGCACAGGTATCAGGCAGAAATTGGGGTGGCTCTTGCGGTGCTATAAGCTCTCCCGATGCCCTCAAGGTTCTCAACACAAAGAAAAAAAGAGAATAGAAAAGAAAGAAGAATAAGAACTGGTGAAGGGACGAGCTAGAGCATACACCCCCCGAGGCGTGCCAGGAATAAATCCCCGTTGACAAAGCCATATCCAGACTCCGCAAGGGACGGAGACCCCATGGTTCTCACAATGTGATCGACTTTTGCGGGGGGTTTGGACCTTTACCACTTTCTCCATACCAGGGTAAGAACATGAAGATGTGCCTGTTGCCGAACACTGGGCCGGGCACCAAAAGCCCGAGAGTCGGCACCAATACATGTCTTTTCTGCATACTCGAAATGAGTGGCATCTTGCAGCCTCTACGGAGGCGCATGTGCAGAGACTGATCATCCTACTTGTAAAATCGGAACCAAAAGAATATATTGGTACTGAGAACGTGATAAATGATAAACTGGAACGGGAAGCTCCCCCATGAGAGCCGCAGTGGGCGGCAAGCGCGCTTATCTGACCCAAAACGTAAAGCGGAGGTGCTTCCTCCGAGGACAAGACCCTCCGTGAACACCAGGTTAAATCCGATGTGGGGAAGGGGGCCTGGGATGAGACTTCACAAGCACCCTCGTCCACCAAACTTCAACAAGCACACTAAACCTCAACAGGCTCATCCAGGTTGCCAACGACGAGGTCATAAATATATATTTTTGCTGATCGATTTAAGATGGGATGACAGGCAATTTGACGAGCCCTTCAGCGCAAACGTAGGGAGCTTAGGATGGGACGTGGATAGCAACGAGACACACAAGATTATGTGGATGACCAGGCGAATGCTAGCACTTGCGCGCCAGTAGGAGAACAAAGATAGGAACCGCAGATGTCCAAATCAGGTAATTATGTACTTATCGAACAAGGATTTGTGTCAGTTTGCGGCACCTGTGGGGATCCTCAAGGCTCTCGCATTGGAAACGCGATTCGTTACCGCGGGGCAGCTGGCCCCGCGGGTGCGCATCCGGCAACGGCAACTCCAGCTCGCAAGATGGATCACTTACACGGACGAAAACACGACATATAAACCGACCTGGCTCAAGCTGATGCTGCCGGTGCTTCCTTCTTCCCCAACCAATGCAGCCTCGGGTCCTGTGACAGCACACTCGTTCTTTTCTCGGCCGGCTCAAATAAGCAATTACAACAATTGTACTTGCCGCCCTCTGCGAGTGGTAGCACCCCGCTGTCTGCCCCGCCCTTCCTTCTTTCCTCTCTCCTCTTTCCTACCTCCGCCATGACGCCCCGCGTGGTGATCCCCCTCGACAAGAACTGGGAGTTTCGGCAGGCCGACAAGGACGACTCCAAGTTTCTGCCCGTCAGCCAGTTCCCAACTAATGTCCACCTAGACCTGCAACACCACGGCCTAATCCCGGACGCCTACATCGGCAAGAATGAACTCGCCGTGCAGTGGGTGGGCGAGGCCCAATGGACTTACCGGACCACCTTCGCAGCCCAGGCGGTCCCCGAGGGTGCCCAGGCGGTCATTGCGTTCGACGGCCTTGACACATTCGCGACGGTAGTACTCAATGGCACTACCATTCTCGAAGTTGATAACATGTTCCTTCCCGAACGGGTCAATGTGACCTCAGTGTTGAAGGAGCAGAACGAGCTGGTCATCACCTTCGACAGCGCCTACCTACGGGGGTGCAAGCGAGTCGAGGAGCACCCGAACCACAAGTGGGGCTGCTGGAACGGGGATGTCTCGCGCTGCCGTACGGAAGGCACAGTACCACTGGGTAAGTGGCTGCTCCTTATTGACTACAGTGCACGATACTGACCGTCCAGGGCTGGGACTGGGGCCCGACTCTCCTGACATGTGGCCCGTGGCGCCCCGTGAACCTCGAAATCTACGAGTCGCGCCTAGCTGACCTCTACACGGACACGGTGGTCGACAAGTCGCTCAGCCGGGCCACCGTTAAGTTGACAGCGGCAGTTGAGGGGAAGGCCGAGAAGGTCCGGTTTGACATCTCACTAGACGGCGAGCAGGTCGCGACCGAGACTGCCGATGTCAGCTCTGCCGACACGGTCACTGTGTCGTTCCTCATCGACAGCCCCGCCCTGTGGTACCCCATCCGCTATGGTAAGCAGCCGCTGTACGACATCAAGGCGACGTTGCTAGCCAGCAATGAGGAGGTCGACACCCTGTCCAAACGCATCGGTCTCCGCCGGGCCGAGTTGATTCAACGCCCCCTTCAGGAACAACCGGGGACGAGCTTCTTTTTCGAAGTCAACAACATCCCCATTTACTGCGGCGGTAGCGATTGGATCCCCGCCGACAACTTCATCCCGCGCATTAGTCGCCAGCGGTATTTTGACTGGATCAAGTTGGTTGCTGAGGGCAACCAGTTCATGATCCGCATCTGGGGTGGCGGTATCTACGAGGAGCAGGCCTTCTACGACGCCTGCGATGAGCTCGGCATCCTCGTGTGGCAGGACTTCATGTTCGGCTGCGGAAACTACCCCGCGTGGCCGGCCCTGCTCGAGTCCATCGACCGTGAGGCGCGCGAAAACGTCAAGCTGCTGCGTCACCACCCTTCCATCGTCATCTGGGCGGGCAACAACGAGGATTACCAATACCAGGAGTCTGAAGGCCTGACGTACGACTACGAGAACAAGGACGCTGAGAGCTGGCTCAAGACCGACTTCCCCGCTCGCTACATCTACGAAAAGATACTGGCCAAGGCGTGCGCGGACCTGATCCCCAACACCTTCTACCACCCTGGCTCCCCCTGGGGCGCGGGACTCAACACGCGCGACGCCACGGTCGGTGACATCCACCAATGGAACGTGTGGCACGGCACGCAGGAGAAATGGCAGAACTTTGACAAGCTCGTCGGCCGGTTCGTGTCCGAGTTCGGCATGGAGGCCTTCCCCTCGGTCAAGACAATTGACTCGTACCTGCCCCTGGGCAAGGATGACCCGGACCGCTACCCGCAGTCATCGACTGTCGATTTCCACAACAAGGCCGAGGGCCACGAGCGCCGCATCGCCCTCTACCTCGTTGAGAACCTGCGCTACGCACCCGACCCCCTCGAACAGTTCGTCTACAGCACTCAGCTAATGCAAGCCGAGTGTCTCGCCTCAGCCTACCGCCTCTGGAAGCGGGAGTGGCGCGGCCCGGGCCCGGGAGTACTGCGGCGGCGCGCTCGTCTGGCAAACCAACGACTGTTGGCCCGTCACGAGCTGGAGCATCGCGGACTACTACCTGCGTCCCAAACTGGCGTACTTTACTGTCAAGCGCGAGATGGCGCCCGTCAGTATCGGCATCACCCGCCGCACACACTCGCACCCGCGAGACAGGCATACCAGGGTCAACATCGACGTCACGACCAAGATTGAGATGTGGGGGAGCAACTTGACGCTCGAAGACCTGACGGTGGACTGTGTCTTGAAGGCATGGGATGTGGTGAGCGGCGAGGAGACCTTCTCCGAGACGGTGGCGCCGGCAAAGCTGCTCCCGGAGAACAGGTCGACCGAGATTACCGCACTGGATGTGCCAGTCCGGGAAAAGGATGTAGATGAAGAGGCCCGCATCGTGGTGGCGGCGTACCTGGTCAAGGACGGCAAGCAGATTGCGCGCTACGTCAACTGGCCCGAGCCGCTCAAGTATGTGCACCTGCAGAAGCCCAAGGCTCTCAAGACACAGCTTACTGCGGATTTCTCGGCCGTCGAGATCAGCGCCGACGTGCCGGTCAAGGGTGTGGCACTGGAGTGTGAGGATGACGAGGTCAAGTTCGATGACAACCTGGTGGATGTCGTGCCGGGTGAGGTAGTTAGCATCGGGGTCAGGGGCGCGAGCAAGGACACCAAGATCGAGACGAGGTATATGGGCATGCTGTAGATGTAGAGGCAAAAGAAGAGTTAAGTGATTTTCATTAGATTTCCCAATACACAGACGCCAATATAGATCATGAACAAAACCGACCCATGCACCGTACGCCATGACACTTATGCAACTCGCCTCCCCTTAGCAGCAGCCCGTGCTACCGGCCGCCTGCGCCTCTTTGAGCTTCTTCTCATCAACGCTGGTGTCCAAAGCCCCCTCGACCTTCTCGTTGGGACCGGCGATCAGGATCTTGATGACCTCGCCCTCCTTGACCTTCTTGAAGGCCTCCTCAGCGTCCTTGAACGGCACGACACCATTAATAAGGGCCTTGACATCCACCCGGCCGGCAGCAACCAACTCAATCGCGAGCTTGTAATCACCGCTGCCATAGCGGAACGAGCCACGGGCCGTCACCTCCTTCAGGCAAAGCGCCATAATCGGGAAGTTGATATCGGCCTTGCCCATACCACCTTGCACATACGTACCACCCATGCGCACCACATGCAGCGACGCCTGGATGGACGGCTCGGCGCCCGACGCATCAATCACCACGTCCGCGCCCTCCCCCAGCTCCGCCGCCGCCACCAGGTTGCGCGCGTTCTCCTCGGCCGACACCCGCTGCGACAGATACGTGTGCGTCGCCGCGTACCCCCGCGCAAAGTCCAGCTTGCCCTGCACAATGTCCACCGCCACCACCTTGGTCGCCCCAAACGCCCGCGCCACCGCCCCGCACAGCAACCCCACGGGTCCGGCCCCCATCACCACCACGCTCTGGCCGGGCTGCACCCGCGCCTGCTTGACTATGTGCACCGCCACCGCCAGCGGCTCGATCAGCGCCCCCTCCTGCAGGGAGACATTCTCGGGCAGCTTGTAGCAGAAATCCGAGGGGGCGGTCCAGAACCCCGTCAGGGTGCCGTCGTAGGGCGGGGTCGCGGCGAAGACCATGTCCGGGCAGAGGTTGTAATGGCCCGAGAGGCAGGGCCCGCAGCGCCGGCAGGGGTAGCCCGGCTCGAGGGCCACGCGGTCGCCCTTGCGGAGGGTGGAGACGGCGGAGCCGACCTCGAGCACGGTGCCGGCGGACTCGTGGCCCAGCACCATCGGGTCCTTGACCACGAAGTGCCCGATCGCGCCGTGCTGCCAGTAGTGCACGTCGGAGCCGCAGATGCCCGTGTAGTTGATGCCGACGAGCACGTCGTGCGGGTGTTGGAGCTTGGGGATGGGCCGCTCCGCGAAGGTGACGTCGTTGGGCTTGTTGAGGATGAAGGAGAGGTTCTGGCGGGGGGGGAGGGGGTTGTTAGTGGGTGGTTATTGTGATTGTCATTAATGAGGGGAGGGAAGTTGGGGATGAGATGGAATGGGATAGGATATGGGATGGTAACGTACGGAAGCCATTGTGACGGATGTTGAGTCTGAATTTGGGAGTATGACTTCACAATGGTTTGGAGAGGGGTTCGGCAGAGTTGGAGATGAGAGAGGAAGCTCGAGGAGCAGAACTCAACAGGAGGACGGGCTTAAATACGGGCGCTCACACACGCACGAGAAGAGACAAGCACCGTTTCTCGGAGATCTCAAACCCAGGTTCCTCCCTCCTGCTTTAGATTTGCCCAGAACGAACTCAGGCACAACAGGAGTGTGGTGCCCCTCCTTGTCTCACTTGTCCAACCGCATCGACGACAGACCTGGGTGGGTGAGTGGGTGCGGGGAGCTTCGATAACGGCGCGGCCTCCTCCCACCTCCCATCCCCCACCACGCCTCTCCACCGCAGGGAGTGGTCGAGCCTGGGAGTATCCGATTACGCCATGGTTTTGGTGGTGAGCCCGCTCATACTCGCCAGCCGCCAGCTCCCGAGGCGCTTGCTGCAGCTGCCATTGTGCCATTGCAGCAAGCTCCCGCGAAAACCCCACGAACATCTGGCGGGCGATTTATCCTTCCATTTTACCCGCACCAATCAGCAGCGGAGCGCATTGGCGGTCGGGATCCGCTCGGTGGCCGTCACGACGAAGGTTGCCAGGCCAGACCTGTCAGCTGAGAATCAGAGACTTCTTTATCCATGATCTAGAAGGTGGTTAATGTCGGTGAGAAGGGGGCGATGGAGCTGCATCAAGGGGCAATTTGCCGCGGAATCCGCTGCGTTGGCTCGGGAATACCGAGCGAGTGGGTGACTAAAGTGCTGAGAAGCAGAATGAAGACATTGTGGGCTGATTGAGGGCGCAGTGCCTGGAACTACGCGGTATCGCAAACACGACACGGCAGAGCTCGCTCTAGAAGCCGGGCGGGACTGCTGCACGAGATGCATCTGAGCTCTATGTATCGCTATTTATCGCCTGGCGCGTGATCCGGCAGCTCGTGGGGAGGTAGCATTGCAGACGGGTGAGGCCAGGCCCCGCGCCGGTCGCGGCAGTTCGCCGAGTTCGCAGGGCTCAATTGATGAAAGTTGAGACCTGCGGGCTGGAGGCTGTGACGGGAGAATTGAGAGGTGGTTACCATCCGATCTCAAGGATACTCTCAAGGAGGGGGTTCCCCGACCGAAAACTTGATAGTTGAGATGCCCCTCATAAATCACCCCGCACCATCCTAAAAAAGCAAAAACAAGAAAACAAAGTGAGAACACCGCAGCCCACCACACTCCTCCAACTCCAAGATGCAAAAGATGACAAGGGTGAGATTCGAACTCACGCCCCATTACTGAGACCAGGAATGCTCAATGAGCCAATTCAGGTGGGCCTGAACCTGGCGCCTTAGACCGCTCGGCCACCTTGCCGTTGATGGAGTTTGTGGAGTTGCAAAAGGAAAGAAAAGGAGACGTGCAGCGCGAGGTTGCAGCAGCAATCTCGAAGGTCGGGAATGTGTAAAAGTGTATGTGCGGTGCACGGGCCATCAAATACGCTGCGGGGCATTCGAGTGACGTCGTGAGCGGTGTCGGCGACAGCTGCTGGCCCGACGCAACCCGGAGTTCTCCGCTCCATTGCATCCGCAGCCAGCGGGAACCCGAAAGTTGGGTCCTCGATTGCATATCTCGGTGCCCGTGACGAAACCCATTAACCTTCCAACGACCTAATTGGTATTGGTCGAGGAAGGAGAATTTGCTAGAACCGGCGACCCTTCAATGCGTCATGCGCGGTGGACAACAATCGTCCCACGGTCACTGACCCGCGCGATATCCGGCTTCGGGCCATTTTCAAGAACAATGGCGACCGCCGCCCGCAGTTACAATGTGCGCAGCTCGAGCCTAAAATCATTGACCATACTAGCATCCAGAGTGCTTACCACCCATGCCATCATCTCCAGGACGCAATCGACGCCCTCAACTCGCTCCAAACCCCCTACGCCGTGATCGAGGCCCGCCGCGCCGCCGGCGTCCGCCCCGATGCCGCCTCGGTGCGCGAGATGCGCGCCTACCTCGCCCGCGTCGGCTACACCCCGCGCGACCTCGACCGCCTCAACATAGTGCACGTCGCCGGCACAAAGGGCAAGGGCAGCACCTGCGCCTTTGTCGATTCCATCCTGTCCCGCTACCGCCAGCGGGGCGGCGGCCCCCCGCGCAAGGTCGGCCTCTTCACCTCCCCGCACCTGATCGCCGTGCGCGAGCGCATCCGCATCAATTCGGCCCCCATCTCCGAGGAGCTGTTTGCGAAGTACTTTTTTCAGGTGTGGGATAAGCTGGAGGCGAATAGGGATGTTGCGGCCGATGCTGCCGCGCCGGGGAGCAAGCCTATCTATTCGCGGTACTTGACGCTGATGAGCTACCATGTGTTTCTGTCTGAAGGTGTCGACGCGACCGTGTACGAGACGGGGATCGGCGGAGAGTACGATGCGACCAACGTGGTGGAGCGCCCCGTGGCCAGCGGCATCAGCACGCTAGGGATTGATCATGTTTTTGTGTTGGGCGGTACCATCGACAAGATTGCCTGGCACAAGGCCGGCATCATGAAGCCGGGGAGTCCGGCGTTTACGATCGAGCAAGTTCCGGTAGCCGCCGAGGTGCTCAAGAAGCGGGCGGTAGAAAAGAAGGTGGATCTGAAGGTGCTGGATGTTGACCCGCGGTTGGCGGGCGTCAACATCCGCCCTGATGCTACTTTCCAGAAACGGAACGCCACATTGGGGATTGCGCTGGCGGAAACTGTGATGAAGAAGCTGGATCCTTCATTCTCGCCCAACCCTGAAGCCTTGCCGCAGGAGTTCGTCGACGGACTGGAGCAGGTCATCTGGCGTGGAAGGTGCGAGGTGAAGGATGAGGACAGCGTGATATGGCATGTCGATGGGGCACACACGGTTGACAGCCTGAAGATGGCAGCCCGTTGGTTTGTCGGCGAGTGCGCCGGCCGGGCTGAAAGAGGCCCCAAGGTCCTAGTCTTCAACCAGCAGGGGCGCACCGAGGCGGTAGACTTCCTCGATGGACTCCACGATATTGTCAAAAGCTCGGGGGAGGGATTTGAGCACGTTATATTCTGCACCAATGTCACCTACGCGGCGACGGGTTATAAGAGGGGTATGTCACTCCTGGTGGTGCTGTTGGTTTCGTGGGCTGACTCTCCAGACTTTGTAAATCACCAACACAACCCGGCGGATATTGAGAAAATGACGCAGCAGCGGGTCTTTGCCGACAAGTGGAAGCAACTCGACCCGTCCGCCAACATTATTCTAATTCCGACGATCGAGGAGGCCATTAATACCGCCCGTAGTTTGGCGAAGGAAAACGGGCCGAAAGTGCAGGCGCTCATTACCGGGAGCCTACACCTTGTCGGTGGCGCTCTGGGTATTCTTGAGGGCGCGGATGCTCTGTAGAGCGCAAAAGTTGACTCGGGCACGTCTTCATCGACTTGTTCGTAACGTACCTTGTAATTCAACTGTACAGGTTGGCTTCACGGCATTAGGTAGAATGGAGTTCTTGCGTAGATTGGCAGCCTAGTATTCAACATGGTCGATGAGTTTGAGCACGGCGCCCACCAGGTAGAAGCTCCCAGTGACCAGGACCTTACACGCCTTTCCGTCCTTCCTCGCCTGGGCCGCGATAGACTTAACCTGCTCGATCGTAGGCTCCACGGCATTCTGCACCGTTGATTCGGTAGTGCTGTCAACCTCCCGCATCGTCTCCTGCGCCCTGATCTGAGTAGAGAGGTCGCGGTCCTCGCTCTCTGGCTTCTGCTCCTTGTTTCTCGTGAAGATAGCGTGAGTGAACGTCGTGGCCCCCTTCACGCCAGCCAACAGCGCCCTCAGCAAGGGGGTTGGATCCCTCTCCTGCTGGTTGAACACCAGGATCCGTATCTCGTCGCCGCTGGTTCTGGCCCCAAACCACCGCCCAACCCCAGCAAGGCTGTCATCAGTGTGTGCGCCATCCACATGCCACTCAATGCCATCCTCACCCTTGAGAATCTCACAACGCCCGCGCAGGGCTGCTTCTTTCAGCCCCTTGACGAATTCGGGAGGAATATCGTTCAGCGACCACTCGTCCGTCCCAAAGCGCCCCTCAAACTTGACCCCGGTCTGCAGTAGATGTTCCCTCGCGGCATACACGGCCAACGCCATGTTGTACTTCTGGAACGGGCCTTGCAACCTCGCCCCCTCAACTCCACCCCACCTCTCAACCTCCTCGTCCGTCACCTCCACCAACACAGCACCCTTCTCCCTCGCCCGCGCCCTCAGCACCTCCATCACCGCCGCCTGCTCCTCCGGCAACTTCCTCGTAAAGGCCTTCACCCCCTCCTTAAACACCCCACTCTTATGCCACGCAATCTTCTCCACCGTATCCCCCAGCATACTCACATGGTCAATCCCCAACTGCGTCACCACCGCGGCGGTAACCACCTCCCTCGGGGAGCACATTCGTCGAGTCATACTCCCCCCCAATCCCGCACTCCACCACCGCACTGCGCAAGCCCTCCTCCAAAAAAGCATGCAACGCGACAATCGTCAGAAACCGAAAATAAAACGGCTTCGTCGCCGGGCCCTCCAATTCCTCCTCCCCGACCACCACCCCTTTCGCCCTCGCCTCCGCGCGCGCCGCCTCCGTCAGCCGCGCCCACACCTCGCCCACATACCGCCCCAGCTTCTCGCGCGCGATCGGCGCCCCTTCCAGAACAATCCGCTCCCGCACCGATAGCACGTGCGGCGATGTGTACAGGCCCACCCCACCACCACCACCATCCCCATCCACATCCCCACCTCCGGAAGAGGAAGAAACCTGAGGAGAGTACTGACCCAACACCCCCGCCACCAACGCACTCACACTCCCCTTGCCCTTCGTACCCGCGACATGCACGCAGCGCAGCGGGGAGGCGGCGAGGGTGGACGGGGGGAGGCCGGCGCGGGAGAGCCAGGCGAGCATTTCGGGGATGGCGAGGGCGTTGATGTCGATGGGTTTTCCTTGGGCGGGTCCTGTGGTGGTGGGGGGGGGGTCGAAGAGGGAGGTTATGGCGCGGTTGGATTGTAGTTGCGCGAGGCGGGTCAGGGCGGTGGCGTAGCTTCCTCCTGCTGCTTCTCCTGGTGGTGGGGGTGGGGAGGCCATTTTGTGGGTGGTGTGGGAGAATGGGGGGATGTGGTTTGGCTGGCGGTGGGTGAGCTGGGTGGTGATGGTTCTGATGGTGGTTCGCCGCGTTGCTAGCATCGAAGGATATGAAGCAAGGTGAGTGAATGTTACTTCGGCGGCATTTGTCTCGGGTTTGGCGGCGGGCTCCGGTGAAGCTTCAATATGATTCGGTTTGTTGAAATTAATGTCTCCAATTCCAATCCCGAAACAGCTGGGCTCAATTCGACACCCTAACAATTCATGGCTGTTGAAGGAAAAAGCTAAGAGTTCATAAACTTGAAAGGCCGAAGAAGTGGGACAACTCCGACTTCGCTTGTCCAAAACCCAAAACCCAGAACACCATCCCCAGCATGAGATAAAGAAAGTCGAATCACCTATTTCAGTATGAGTCTCAGCTGGTATTCGCATAATTTACGACGCACTCTACCATATTTTGAACCACCAACTCGCGTCTATTGACTACTTGATACACGACAACCAGCCCAGACCCTCTTTACCTAACAGATCTAACGCAGGAATGTACATCGACAAAAGAAACGCCCCGTCGTTTTGGGTTCACTCCACCTTCAAGCTTTGTAGTCTCGCCTCCGTCTGGATGACCTGTAGATAATCGGTTAGTAACCACTCATTACACTCTTCAACACCGTAGAAAAACCAAAAACATACCTCCAAAGCCTGCCGCACCTCCAACACCTTCCGCACCTCGCCCAGCCAGTCGCGGCTGAGCGTCTTGGACCACCCAGTCAAGCCGTTCATCTCACGGGCCGCGTTGTCGAGGTCGCCCTCCTCGAGGAAGGTCTGTGTGCGGGTGAGGATGCTCTCGACGTCGTCGCCGGCGGCCAGCCCTTGCTTCTTGAACATGACCTTGCTCAGGACGTAGCTCGAGGCGTGGCTGGCGACGCCCGCGTCGTCGGGCAGCAGCGACGCCTTGCGCACCTCGGCGGCGACGCGGCGGAAGCGGTCAATCAGCTCGGCGGGGGTCGAGATGCCGCGCTGGTAGGCGGACGGGTGGACGGACGCGATGGCGGCGTCGACGACGGGGTCCTGGGCAGCGATCTCCTTGAGGGCGACCAGCTCCTTGATGAACGGCCGCGGGTGGTGGGCGTCCTCGAGGCTGGCGCGCACCGCCTCGACGGCGACGTGCAGCTGCTGCGTGCGCAGGTTGGCGTCGATGACCTCGTTCCAGCCGGCGGTGAGCTTCTCGAGGCCTTCCACCGCAGCCTTCAGCTCGTTAAGCTTGCCGAGGCGGCCGTCGCGCTCCTGCTCGACGTGCTTCTTGATATCCTGGGTGAAAGCGCGTTGCAGCTGCACGGCCTGCTCCAGGAGCTGGTTGTTGAGCTTCTCCTCGGCGAGTTGCCGCTCGCGCTCCTGGATCAAGTGCACCTTGTTGTCGTAGCTCTTCCTGAGACGCTCCATCTCGGCCTCGAACTCGCGTCGGAACTGCTGCTCCTGCACCGTCATGGCAGCCTCCAGCCGGGCAACCAAGTCGTTGGCTGCCTGGTCGAAACCGTCGACGCGTTGGCGGACCTGTTGGGCAGCATCTTTCTCGACCGCCGTCTTGATATCGAGGATCTTTTGGCCGACCTTGCTGATCTCGTTCTTGGCCTTGCCAATCGTCGCACCGTACCTGTCGTTGGCGCCGTCGTGGTTGATCACGGTGATAATGTCGTTCAGCATGCGCACCAGGTCCTGCACAACGGGGTCGGCCGCGTTAGGGACCGCCAGCGGGTCGATGGGCGACGCTGGAGGCCATCGTGAAGGCTCGTCCACCTCCGGAGCCTTGAACGCCTTCTGCGCGGGGGTGAGTGCCGTGGTAGCGGGCACGAGCGACGTCTCGGGCTCGGGCTGCTTCTCCACGGGCTTATTCTCGACAGCCTTCTTCTCCGTCACCTTCTTGCTTGGGCGCTTCTTCTCCGCCGCAGGCGCGGGCGCGGGCTTCTTAGGTTCCTCGGCCTTGACCTCAGGCGCGGGCACCTTGGGAGCCTCCTCCTTGGGCGGGGCAACCACAACCGGCTCGGCCTTCTTGCTAGGTTCCTTCGCCGCAGCCACCTTCTGCACAGCGCTCGATTGCCGGCCAGCAGTCTCCCTGGTGTCAGCGACACGCCAAGAAGCGCCGCTCTGGGCGGGAACCGTGACCTGCTCGCCTTCAAGCCGCCTGCCTACCACCCGGCTAGCCACGTTAGGGACCGCTTCTTGAAGTCCATCTCCTCCAGGTAGAGTACAGCCTGCTCGCCATAGGGGATGTACTCGGTGAAGAAGTCGTGGAAGTTGTCGTTGATGCGCGAATACCAGACGCCGCCGCCAAATCCGAGGGCGCTCAGCAGGGTCAGCGTCAGGAAGAAGTTGCGCAGTCTCCGGAAGAAGCCCTTCTTCTTCCGCGGCGTCGGGAGAGGCGGCGGCGGGGCGCTATTAGCGGGCTCGGCAGCCACGGAGTCCGGGGCGGGAGGTGTGAGGGGGACGTTATCGGCGGGGATGGTCGTCGAAGCCGCAGTCTCGAGAGAAGGCGGAGGAGGAGGCGGCGTCGACGGGGCCGTCAGGGTCTCGGATGCGGGGATCTTGGCCTCATCGGGGCGCGTCTTGTTGGAGGCATAGAATCTCTAAACAGCCACAAGTAAAAACCAAGCAGGTTAGCTGCCAGCAACGAGGGTGCCCATGCTCAAGAATGACCTCATACCTGCCCCGACACGACAGCACGCCGGGCCGCAGAAACTTGCCATTGACGACCTGCAGCAGCGGCGACGGGCCTGCTGCCCAGCGCCCTCACGGATTGCAGCGATGTCCGCAACATGAGGGGATGGGGTGGCCGACAGGGCACAATTAAAGTGTTGATGTGCTGGTCGGGAAGCGAGAGAGCAATCAACAAAATCCTGGGATGTGCACCACTACCTAACAATTTCTTGACTCAGCAAGCTCGGCTATCGCTTGTCCGATGTTTTGCCGCACGATATCTTCGCGGGCCGTCTCTGTTGAAGATCCAATGTCCCACTTTTCATCACCCGCCACTCCTTCTACCAGTACCCTACAGCACACGCTTCATAAGTCTTGCTACCAGTATTGAGGTATGTTGTGCGCGTAAGAGACCATAATTGTAACTAAGCTAGCGGGGTTGTGTTGTTTGACTGCGAGATGGATTATTATATTAGGTGGGTGGTGGTAGAGCGGGCAATTGAGATGCGCTTGTATACTTCGTAGTGTCGGAAATATGGGCAATTTAAGGCTCACTGCATTCATCACCACCCTCATTAGGATTACCGCGGCGTTGCAAGCTATTGCTCTATCTGCTTACTATACACGGAAGCGCACCTGTCCAGCCTCTCTCACTCGCCATCCCACGTTATGCGGCGAGCTACTAGTGTGCCAAAAACGAACATAACCCCATAAAAAAAGGTATTAAACGGCATCCATACCAACCACCCAGCAGACTCCGCCCCAGATGTGTGATGCCAACACTCCCTCCTCCGTAACCCAGTTAACGTGCATGCACGACCTGCTCTATGACCGCGGCCTGCATCCCGCTACTCGCTCCAGTCTCTCTGCCGTCGCATCTTAGAAGCTCATCGAAATGCCCAATTTCCCTCTTTAACCCCTCAGCAAGCGCATGGCCCCCCAGCTTGCGTGTTTGCCCCCTCGGGGGCTAGGCTGACGCCGGGTCGCTGACCTGGCCGGGCGTGCCTCGGTCCGACCTGGTCAAGCGGCAATTTCTTGGCGATGGCGGTAAAAAGCTCCTGCACATTCTCGGCTGTCTTTGCCGACGTTTCGAAGAAGAGAAGACCGGCCTCCTTTGCGTAGGCTTCGGCGTCGGCCGTCTCGATTGCTCGCTTGTCGGGCTGCTCCGTCACCAAATCCAGCTTGTTCCCGGCAAGTGCGATGATGATGTTCTCGTTGGCCTGCCTCTGTAGCTCCTTGACCCACGACTTCGCCTTGTCGAGTGATGTCTGATCCAGTTAGCAAACGTGCTAGAAACGGGACAAAAATAATACGTACGGCTTGGGTGATGTCATAGACTACAACTGCGCAGTTGGCATTCCTGTAGTACATGGGCGCAAGTGACTTGTACCGCTCCTGGCCCGCCGTGTCCCAAATTTCGAACTTGACTGTCGTGTTCTCGTCGAGCGAGATGGTCTGTGTTAGGAAAGCGGCGCCGATAGTTGATTCCCGATATGAGTCGAATTGATCCTAGCGCCCGTCAGTCCCCGAACTCGCCGTGGGCGCAAAGAAATCGGCTTACCTTGACGAATCGCAGCACGATGGAGCTCTTTCCCACGGCAGATTCACCTACATCGAGTAAGCATGGTACATCTTCCTAGCGGCGCGCGCTGTCTCACCTAGCAACACCAGCTTGAACTGAGCAAAGCGGTTGTTCATGCCGCGCGCGCCGGGAGGTCCACGAGTCGCCATTTTGGTTGTGATTTGTGGGAAAGCGGCCAACGTCAAAGCCAACTGAAATGGTGTTATTCGATTCGGCTACGGGAGCTCGGCTCTGAAAGACCGCGAAGGGTTGTCGCAGGGGAACAAAGGTCGATTGTACGGCCGATGTACAGCAGTGTCGTCGTGGATAAAAGCCGCGATAAAATGGTCAGCCGTTCAAAAGGTGCAGTTGATCGCGGGTGTCGAGGGGAACCACGGGACCAAGGTTGAATGGTTCGTCGAATAGAGCTGGTTGGAGGTTGTTGAGCGCAGCCTGGGCCTGGCCACTCGCCTGTCACTGGTCAGCGGCAGTGCACACGTCAGGCCTGGGATAGTGAAGGCAGCCGGGCTGGTCAAATTGTCCGTGCACCGTGCAGCTCCACGTGATGCAACGACGACCTGGTTACGTACCCCTGTGTGGCGGGCAGTCCAATCCCGCACCAGCCGGCGCCGGCAGCCAGAAGCGCCGTCTTCAGCCGCCAAGACTGGGAGGACCTGGCCAGATGGAACCTTGGAAGCTGTGCCGATCTGGCAACACATGCCACGCCTGTTGTTGGCAGCCAAGAATGTCAGCTTCGAGGCATTGAGGGATGGGATTGAAACGGCCAATTTTAGAATCTCCAACACAAATTGTACAAAATTGACCAAAACATTCGACAGTTTCTATTTTATGCCCACTCACCTCCACCACACGGGATGCAATTAACTCGTCCAAACCCCTGAGTCTGTCCTCTCTCGCCGCCAACATCGTTGGCCGTCGCAACCATGGCTCTCCCATTCCGCGACATCAACGTGCAAACCGCATCCGACTCGTACATCTTCTCCTCGCCCTCGAGTCCCAATGCGCCCGCCCTCACCATCGACCGCCCGACAGGCGACATCCGCCTCAGTGATGCATCCGTCCTTACCGGGAAGCGCGTCTCCCGCGTCACCAGCATCTCGGGTATCCTGGGCATGATCCAGTTGCGGCTGGGTACGTTGACGATAGCTTACGCTGGGACGTGGTTGGGATGCTAACAAGGCGCTAACTGTTCAGACAAGTACATCATCGTCATCACCAAGGCCCAGCCCGTGGGCCGTCTACGCGGACACATGGTGTACAAGGTCGTCTCGACCGAGCTCCTCCCCCTACGCGAGCGCCAAGTTCACGACCCCGATGAGGACCGCTTCCTCGCCCTCCTCAAAACCTTCATCAAGTCCGGTCCTATGTACTTCTCGTACGCGATCGATCTCACCAACAGCTTCCAACGCCAGGCCCAGCAGGATGTCGAACGCCCCCTTTGGAAGCGGGCCGACGACCGTTTCTTCTGGAACCGCTTCGTCCAGACCGACCTGATCGACTTCCGCAACCAGGGCGGCCGCGGCCAGCCGGCACCCCAGCCCGGTATCGACCCTTATATCCTGCCCGTCATGTTCGGCATGCTCGAGATCCACCCGACGACATTCAAGGGCACCCCCCTGACAATAGCGCTCATCACCCGGCGGTCTCGCAACCGGGCAGGCACCCGTTACTTCACTCGTGGTCTCGATGACCAGGGCAACGCCGCCAACTACAATGAGACGGAACAAATCTTGATCCTCAACGACAGCACGGCGGGACTTGGCGGCTTTGCGAGCAGCGCCGGGCCGGGCGTGCAGCGAAACGTCTCAGGCGAAGGCAAGGACATGCAGATCTTGTCGTACGTCCAGACCCGCGGTAGCATCCCAGCCTACTGGGCCGAGGTCAACGTGCTCAAGTACACGCCGAAGCTGCAGCTCCGCGCTATCGAGGCGGCGCTGCCGGCCGCAAGCACCCATTTCGACGAGCAGATCCGCATCTACGGCGACAACTACTTGGTCAACCTGGTCAACCAAAAAGGCCGCGAGAAGCCCATGAAAGAGGCCTACGAGCAGATGGTTGACATGCTCGTGTCGAACCCGCAAGAGCGCGTGCAAGGTGACCAGCGCACCGACGAGAAGTTCCACACCATCGAGACGGGCGGCGGCCCGCAGCGCTCGCCCTTCGACCGGCTGCACTACATCTACTTCGACTTCCACGCCGAGACCAAGGGCATGCAGATGCACCGGGCGCAGCTGCTCATCGACCGCATGCGCGAGGCGCTCGTCGCGCAGCAGTACTTCCGCGCCGCCGACATGCCCGGCAGCCGCATCGACGGCCGGCTCGAGGTGCGCAGCCTGCAGACGAGCGTGGTGCGGTCCAACTGCATGGATTGCCTCGACCGCACCAACGTCGTGCAGAGCATGCTGGCGCGCTGGACGCTGGACCGCATGTTCATCGACCTGGGCCTGCTGCCGCGCGGCGCGCGCTTCGCCGACGAGGACGACGCCTTCGAGCTCATGTTCCGCAACATGTGGGCCGACAACGCCGACGTCGTCTCCAACGCCTACTCGGGCACCGGCGCCATGAAGACGGACCTGACCCGCCTCGGCAAGCGCACCAAGGGCGGCGCCCTGCAGGACGGCAACGTCGCCGTCACCCGCTACTGGAAGAACAACTTCCTCGACGGCCCCCGCCAGGACGCCTTCGACCTGTTCCTCGGTGCCTACCAGGTGCCCGCCGGCGGCATCGGGTCGGGCTTCATCTTTGCCGACCGCCGCCCGGTGTGGATCCAGAGCGTCCCGTACATCGCCGCATTTGGCTTCTTCTTCGTCCTGGTGGCCACGTACACTCCCCGCCTCCCCGACTCGGCCGTCTGGCCGCTGCGGCTGTTCACCATATTTTGGGTTGCCGTCACGCTATGGAGCGTACATTTCATCTTCAGCAACGGCATGCTCTATGTAAGCTCCCCCCCCTCCCCCTACCCGCCAACCCCCTGGTATTCCCTACCTAGCAGAGCAATCAATGTACTGACTACCCATCCCCGCGCAGGTCAACTGGCCCAAACTGAACCCGCGCCCCTGGGCGACAGAGGGGTACCACGAGACCATCACCCGGGTGCGCAAGGACAAGCTGCTGGGCCCGCTGGTGGCGCGGCACGAGCGCGGGCTGAGCACGGCGCGGTATATCAATGCCGAGGAGGGCAAGAAGAGGATCGAGTAAGGCGGTTGGTTCTTTGGGGGGTGCGTGTGGTTGCTTGTTGGCTCCTTTTCTGGATTTGGTGTCTTCTGAAAATGTCGTTACCTATGGTGTGTTAGTAGTTAGTGCCCATAGGGCTGGGTTAGAGTAGAGCGATGTTGGGCTCCAACTTGACTTGGAATTGTTTTAATACAGTGGTTTTGGTGGTCGGTTGGACCGCGTTTCGCACAACCAAATCAGTTGATCGTCTTGTCGGGCATCCAGGTGACATCTGAGAGCATCAACTCATCACGTCAAAACATCCATCCAAAGTCAACCACCACACCTCAGGTGAAGTCAGAAATTCAAGGTTGAATTACCTTTACCAAGTCTGGCTGGCATAAAATATTACAAAAGTAAATACACGTCTGGGTATCGCGCTTCGGCTTCTCAACAATGCTCCCCTGAATCCCAAAACAAACAGGTCGCTCCCGCTCATTACCAGGCCATGATGCAAACCGGCTACCCCTAGAAAACCAACAAAAGAAAACAAAACTACCTACAAAACATAATAAACAACCCCACCTCTACCTGCACCACGAGCTACGCCTACAACCACAACAACCATCTCACCCCCCTCACAGCCCCCTTCCCGACCCCCAACCCCACCCTCGCAATCATCACCAAAAACCACACATACCACATACACCCAACGAGCACCCACTCCACCAGCAACCACCCGACCCTCCGAATCCACCTGAACCGCCTCCTCCGCCGCCGCAACATCTTATCCATCGCATCCAGCACGTTCTTCACCTTGAGGCGCTGACCAACCACCAAATCATGATTAGCAGCGTCGGCGTCGTCGATGGCCGACTGCGCGAGGTCGGTCAGCTCGTGCGCGACCTTGGCGCGCAGGGACTCGACGCGGTGGAGGAGGGAGGGCGCGGTGGAGGAGAGGAATTGCGAGGAGAGGGTTTGGAGGTCCGAGGTGGAGGACTGGATGGAGGCGGCGAGGGTGCGTGCCGCGATGGGGTAGGCTTCGGTTTGGGCGAGCGGGGTCGTTAGCAGGCGGTGGGAGGTGGCTGGGTCGGGGGCGAGTTGGGCGATTTCGGTCCAGGAGAGGGATTGAGGGGGGTTGGTGGTGGTGATGGTGGTGGTTGGGGAGGGGAGGAGCTTGCGCGCTTTGGCGCGGCGGTCCATTTCCGTGGCGTGGATGCCCGCGCTGAGGAGGAGCGCGCGGAGGCGAGCGATTTCGCGCTTGGAAACTGCAGTCGAACCAGAGGTTGTGTGGCGATCGGCGATGGACCACTGCCGGTTGGCGGGTATGGTGGAACGGTGAGGTAAGGCGAGTGCCGTGTCACGGCGGATGGAGGTAGCTCGGGTGTCATCCGGTCCGATCTGCGACTCCGTGTCGGTCTCGGCAGGTGCTTGGTTGCGCACTTGAGCCGGGGGCGGCGAGGTGCTGGGGGATGCGTTCTGCACATCGATCCTCGGCGGCTTGAGCAAGTCGAACCTTGAAGACCGCCGGCTGATAGGCCGTACAAACGGGTACTGGAGCTGGCTCTGGGAAGAAGACTCGTAGTTGTGTAGCAGTGAAGGGTCCAGCAGGGTGTTTGTGTCGTGCGCTGAGCGGCTGCGGCCATGCCGGGGCCCGCGCGATCTACCCCTAGACTCGGCCTCAGAGTCGTCGGACGAAGTGCTGGAGGAGTCATCGCCGTCTTTCCGCCATATCATATCGCTAACCTTGGAAACGCCGCTGCGCAGCACGGTATCGATGCGCGGGCCGCGGAGCAGCGACCGGAAGCTTATCCCGCCATCATCTCCACGTAGCTTGGCACCACTGAGGCTTTTATGTGACCGGTGACCCAGTATCCGCTCGCCGATCGGACTCCTCGAGGGCCTCCGCTGCGGCGACGAAACGCCGCTCCCAGTCGGCTCCGGGGCCCCAGCCCAGGGGTCTTGTGGGGCCAGGGTAACCCCGTCTTCTCCTAAATGATGGGCATCCGCGTTACGTTCCTTGCTGCGTTCCCGGAAGATGCTCTTGACCCTCGTCAGTGGGTTACGGTGAGGTGATCCCGCTCTACTAGACATGGGAGACAAGTCCATCCCCAGCGCCGGCACCAAGCCGACGTCAGGGGTCGGCCGCAGGTTTGGCGAGTTTGGCTGCGACGTATCATCGTCAACCGAAAAGCGTCTGCTCGTCGGAACTTCCAAGCTAGCTCGCCCGGTGTGTGATGGCGGTGACCTAGGCAACGGGCGCAACCTCGGTCCGAGACCCTTGGTTTCCGTCTCGCTCAGCTCTGCGCGGGACTCTGCGCGGCGATGTCCACTAGCACTCGGCTCTCGCTCTGGGGTCATCGGTGCGAACTTCATACGTTTCGCCTCGTGGTCATAAAGCGGGTGCAACTCGGCCTCCCGCTGCTCGCGGGCAATCATTTCTTCCATCTGCTTCTCCAAGACGGACCTCACGGTGTTGGGAGGAATACCGCTCTTCGCCCGCCGTCGGCGATCGCTGTCCGTATCGGATGACTCCGAGGCCGAACCCCGGTGGAGGCGGAGCAGGTCACGGTTAGTGAATGAGCTGGTATGCCGGTGATGTGAGCCCTTTAGCGCCCTGAACTTCTGCTGAGCTCGATCCCTCGCAGCTATGAGTACATGTTCGTGCTCATGCCTTGGTAACGGGTCCGGAGTCGCCTTCTCGCCGGGAGTGTGTGCTTCTAGCGAAACCTTGGCCGAGCCTGGTGTTGCTAGACGGGGCGTCTCATCGCGAGACATCGGCCTAGGTGCCTCGGGGGCTTGGGGGAAGACGCGCCTCCAATGGCGGTCTTCGACCAGCCTCTTGTTATCGTCGAGTTCGAGCCACTGCACGTCTGCCAACATGTCCGCCGGATCAATCACCCAGTCAACGCGGGGCCGCTTAGGCTTCGTCGTGGCTGCCGCCCTCGCGTTCGCCGGCGGCGGAGAAGTTTGCAAGTCCGCCGTCTGCGCACCTGGGAACGGAGGCAGACTGGGATTGCCGAGTTGACGAGCTTGCCCGGTGGCCACCCACTTGGCCACGTCGTCGACCCACTCGGAAACCTTCATGACATCCGTAAAGCCCTGCTCCTCGCCGTCAATAGTGCGCCTCTCGCGAGCTCGCACCTTCCGATTCCGTATGTATTGGAGCGGGTTATACGGCCGCCCAATCTTTGCCTCCGACTCGTTGGTTGTGGTCCTAGACACCGGAGCAGAGCCGTTTGGCGTGACTGGAGGTGTGGCAGTCCAGGGTCGCGCTGTCCGCTCAGGCTCCAGTGGGGGGACCAACTCGAGAACCCGGCGATACTGTGCCATCAGGTCCAGATATTCCTTCGCCTTTTGGGCTCGCGCGAGAGTAGAAGTCGAGAAATGATAGCGATAGCTTGTCCCGGGGTCAAAGGCAGGTTGCAAAGGCGTGAAAACCCTCCCAATACCGACCCTCGGCGACCGGTCGGGCTTGGGCGACACTGTCCGTGATATTTTCCGCTGTTGCTGAAGGTGATACCTGAGGCTCCCTCCATGCGCGTTGTCTGGCAGAGGTGCCAGTCTCGGCGGTGTGGGTTGCGAGACATTCCTGCGCGAAGCAAGCCGTCTGGACTCGCTCAAATTCAACGCCATGCTGACGATCTGGGCCGACTCCACGTCCAGCTGCGTGCTGCTCGTCCCGGGAGAAGAGCCGACGATAGTATCGCCAGTTAATGAGCTACGGTTTGTGACTGTCGTTGAACCCGACTCCTCTCCGGTAAGGCCGCTCGGTCTGGGAACGCCAGGCGGTCCCTCTGTATTGTTCGAGGCGGCCCCCGACACCGGCTCCTGACCATGCTGAGGGTCTATCAAGGTCTGTTGGTCAAAGGATCTCCGCTGCCACCTGTCCGGTGCGTAAGTATCCTGGTCGTGACGGCGGGCAGAGTTGTGACGGGTCAGAGGGTCAACGAGAAGGAAACCGCCGCTGGATCGATGCTTGTGGGCGCGATGGACGCCCGAGAGGCGGTTTTCGGCATGGCTACGGTTGGCGCGCTGTGGACGGGCGGTCTGGCCGTGTGGTCCTACATCGGCAGCCGATGGGCCTGCAGTGCTCAAGAAGGCAGTAGTATCTCGAGTATCGGCGTCGCGGTACGGAGAATTGGATAGTCGTGCCGCCCGCTGGGGGTGAAGATTGGGGGGTGGGCTGGCATCTTGGTCCGTCATGGCGCCCGTCGATGCGTCGTGATGCGCCGCAGGAACTGGTCGACGGGACTTGGACTGCTACCAGTAATTGTCATTAGGTTCGATGCATCGTTACGGGGTGCTGGTAGTTAGGCGGTTCGCAGGGCGAGGGAACCATGTGAAGCCGACGTCAGGAGGCGGTCGTTGGGTGTTCCCATTCGCCGAGATCCGTTGGTTTGAACATTCCAAGTTTGGTCTGCAGGGGAGCAGTCCCTGCGAATTTCGGCACGGCAGTCGGTGAGCAGGCTCGGCAGGGTCCAAAAACAGGTAGAGCACCTGACTGGAGGGAGGCCAACCATCCCCACTGTTACCCGCCAACAGGCGGGGTGCCTCTGGTATCAGTGCAGTGCTCAAAGCCTGGTCTGGAACTGAATCCTTCAACTCAATCCAAACGTCGAGCCAAAGAACCACGAAAATCAGACTGCAATAGTAGAGATGCAAACAGATGATACTGCGCATTGTATGCTGATGGCTAGCTATGCAATACATAAGTCCTCAAAAGCAACCTCAAAGCCGGAAACGGCATCGTCAAACTTCGCAAGAGACAAACAACTTGAGATAGAAAACAGCCGCTGTGGTCAAGTTATTGGCCGCCTGACTGAAGCATCAGCCGCTGAGTGATGTAAATAATTATCTTCGAGTACCAAATATGTACTAGCAATGCGAGAACATGCGCGCCCCAAACGCTTGGGTGGCCATCAACAAATGCAATACCGTAACCCGTAACCATTCGCCACCTGAGTACCTCTATTCCCTAACCAATATGCCCATACCGATTCAAATGCCCAAACACACCGAAACCAAACCCCGCCTTTAAAACACAGTCACGGCGCTCACCCAGCCGTTCTTCAACACCTCAAACACCAGCCCCGGAAACCCATACAGCGTCGTGGTCGAGTCCTCCCCGCGGCCCTTGCCGACGCCAGGGTTCGTTGCGCCGCCTTCCTCCCACCCGCCCAGCAACTCACAGCTGCTCCCCGGGCTGTCCCCCCACCCGCGGTTAAGCACCATGCCCCGCTGTTTCTGCCGAGCGTCAGCCTCAGACGCATAGACAGACTTCCATTCTTCCCGAAGCCGCTCTTCCACCTCCCCGAAGGGCGTCTCCGAGTTTGTAACGCTGCCCGCGTTAGGCGAGGAGAGGTAGGCAATCTCCCAGCGGCAGCGGCGGTGACGGTTGAACGGGTAGGAACCTGGGACGTTTCCGTGAAGGATGACTTTTATAGCGACCAGGCGATCCGCAGCGGTAGAAGCAAAGCCCAGTTGAGGGACATCGTCTTTCCCGTGCTGTGATGGCGGCGGTCGGGAGGGCGTGACGGGCGTCGAGATGAGCACGTCGAAGCCGAGGTAGAAATAGTTATAAAAGCACTCTCCGGATACGTTGGCAACAATGTCGTCCTCGACTGCCTCGTCGTTGGAGTCGTATTCATCTGATGCGGGGAGCGAGGACTGGTCGGTGTCGGTCAGGTCATCCTGCCGCTTCATATCGCTGCCGCCGGGGCCAGCCACGGGGTTGCTTGTGGCCCGCAGTTTGTGGATGTACATCCTCTGATCGCTCTTGCGGTAAATGGCGTCGGGCGGCCCCAGCTCAGCCACCAACTGTTGTGGGGTTGTCTCGCCGAGCATAATCCAGAAGGAATTGTTGGTCCACTTCCGAAAGAGCTGGAGATTGCCGCCCCCGTAAATCTTCACCAGCGAAACTTCATCCGGACTCGTCTCCTTACCCTTTGCAAGCGGGGCGAACGTCTTGATGCTGGGGAGTATCTCTGTCCACATCGTGCCACGGGCTTGGACCCACGAGTCGCCGCTAAACACGGCCATAGATGTCGGGATGGCGGTTGAATGCAGCAGGGACACAACATCCTTGGACGGCGAGTATTCCTTTTTCTTCATGGAAAACGTGAATGCCACGCCAGGGTACGACAGCACGTACATCTCAACAGACGGCAGGTATTCTCCATCATATGTAGGCCCCAAAAACCGCTGGTAAATGTGACGGAACGTTGGCCCGGGTGTGGCATCAGCCGGCGGCGCGTCTTCCGTCGTAGGCCGCACGAGATCCCGCTCTTTATCGTTGGCCGGTTTGAGAAAGATGTGATTCTTGGTAAAGTCAAGCACCTCGATCAGCCGCAGCCGCTGCTCGGGACCGTCGAAGCGCAACCGTATTCCGTTCGCTGGGAGTCTGACGACGACGGGCTCCTTCACCGGGTCGGCCGAGGTGTACATGAGGTCAAGCTTCGGGAACCGCTGGGGTTCAGCCTTGAGGCGGGTCAAGACATCGTGTAAGGAGGCTCCGAGGACGAGAAAGCCCAGAGCCCGGCCAGGGTGGAGCTGGGCCGAGAAGAGCGACGACATGACAGGTATTTATTTGTCGGAGGCGCTCGTGGTGTAAATATCCCAGGTGCTGGGGTGCGATCCGACGGTGTGAGGGCAGGTTCCAGGTTGGACAGAAGGGGAAATCAGTCGGGAACAAGGTCGTTTGTAAGGATGTTCCTACGCGGTAGACAGCCGATTAGTATTAACTGAAGCTAATAGTTAGGCTGTTCAAGTCTTATCGAGAAGTTGGCATTTGAAAATTGTTAAATCAGGTTGAAATGATAAACACCATCAACGGGAGCCAACCTAGAAAATGGGACGTGTTCAACACTGTCCGGGGCTTTGGGAACCCGTGATCGTGGCAGGCGGTCGCCGGGGACGTCATCCGGCACTGGCGACCGATGGAGGGGTAGGTGGGGGCTCCAAGCTGCCTGGTCTGTCTTGGCGTAAACCGGAAATGGCATGTGGAGCGAGCGTTGCTACGGCAATGGCACCCCAGCCTGTGCGTGTTTGTGTGCGTCGCGCCTGTCGCCCCCTTGCAATCCCCACTCAGACCACCGCAGCAGCACTTGCATTTTTGCCCATGACAGCGAAGACCAGCCCGCACACTTCGATATCCCCTGTCGGCGGAACGAGGCACGACGCGCCCCCAATTTGATTTTTGGATGTTCTTTTCGAATTTCGCTGCCGCGTTTCAATAATACCCCAGAATACTCCGGCCCAGTCATCATCACAATTCTACGCGACCCGCTCCCGATGGAGCGCAGAAACACATCAATGGCGCCGCCGTCTCGGCCAGGTCCCGGGCGCCCGAGCCTCCGTCCCGGAGTACGAACCGCAACGGCAGGCTCGTCGAGGCTAGGAGCAGGGCGGCACGCGCCAACCTCGCGCCTGGCGCGGGCGGCATCACCAGCGGACTCGGTTATGTCGGTGGCAACATCAGCCACGACAGGTGCCAAGCGCAAGGAGCGCGACTTTGACCCCGACGATGGGGAGGCTACGAACATCAATGTTGTCGTGAGGTGTCGCGGGAGGAACGATCGGGAAGTTAAAGAGAACAGCGCTGTGGTGGTGCGGACCGAGGCGACCAAAGGGAAGCTGATCCAACTTTCAATGGGCCCAAATTCGGTCAGCGACAAGACGTACAACTTTGACCGTGCCTTTTCGCAAGCCGCAGACCAGAATATGGTTTTTGAGGAGGTGGTAAAGCCAGTCCTGGACGAGGTAAGCAAGAGGCAATCCGGGCCGCATTCAAACTCACGCTGACGCCGGCAGATGCTCTCGGGCTACAACTGCACCATCTTCGCCTACGGGCAAACTGGCACCGGCAAAACATACACAATGTCCGGCGACCTAACCGAGACCATGGGCATGCTGTCCGATAACGCCGGCATTATCCCTCGGGTACTCCAAGCCCTGTTCAAGAAGCTAGAGCTTGACGAGCAAGAAAACTCGGTCCGATGCTCGTTTATTGAGCTGTACAACGAGGAACTGCGGGATCTTCTTTCGTCCGACGACAACGCGAAGCTCAAGATCTACGACGATACATCAAGGAAGGGCCACTCTACGACAATGGTGCAAGGAATGGAGGAGAGGTACATCCTGAACGCCGGTGACGGCCTCAAGTGGCTCCGAGAAGGCAGCATCAAGAGGCAGGTAGCGGCCACAAAGTGCAACGATCTGAGCAGCAGAAGTCATACCGTCTTTACGATAACGGTATACGCGAAACAAAAGACGGAGAACGGGGAGGACTTCCTCATGCTGGGAAAGCTGAACCTGGTCGATCTGGCTGGCAGCGAAAACATCCAACGGTCGGGGGCGGAAAACAAGCGCGCGGCCGAGGCAGGGCTGATCAACAAGAGCTTGCTCACCCTAGGACGGGTCATCAATGCCTTGGTTGACCGCAGCCCTCACATTCCGTACCGAGAGTCAAAACTCACTCGGCTGCTGCAGGACTCGCTAGGCGGCAGGACAAAAACATGCATCATTGCGACGATATCTCCGGCCAAGAGCAACCTCGAAGAGACCATCTCAACACTGGACTATGCTTTCCGGGCCAAGAACATCCGCAACAAGCCGCAGCTGAATGCGCTGACTAACAAGAAGACGCTTCTGCGGGATTTCACCATTGAAATCGAGCGGCTCAAGGCCGAACTAATTGCGACGCGCCAACGCAATGGCGTCTACTTGTCGAACGACATGTACGAGGAGCTGACAGTGCAAAATGAATCACGCCGCATCTTGACGGAGGAGCAAGCGGCCAAGATCGAGACTCTCGAGACGAATCTAAAAAACAAACTGCAGGAACTCTTGTCGGTGACGTCAAACTTTATGGGGCTGAGGAAGGAGCACGAAGAGACGGTGGCTCAGTTTGATGAGGCCAAGGAGGTGCTGGAGCAGACCGAGATCGTGCTCACAGCCACCAAGAAGGCACTCGCCGAAGAAACCCAGCTCCGCAAAGCCCACCAGGCGACGGAAGAGCAGCTGGCGCTCCTTGGGGGCGACCTACTCAGCACGCTCGAAAGGACGGTTGGCGACATCAGCAGTCTGCGCGCGAAGAACAGGCGCAAGTCAGACCTACACAACCTCAACCGAAGCACATGGAACATGTCACAGGCGCACGTCGCGGATATTACCGAGCTCGTGGAGGGCCGTATCGAAGAGTTCCGGCAAGGCCAGGAGGAGCACATTTCCAACGTGTCGCAGCGGATGCAACTTTTCGTCAAGAACGAGCTGGAAAAGCTGTCATCAACCCAGAGCTTCCTCGACGAGAACCTGTCACAATTTGCCGAGTCAAGGACACAGCTCGCCGCGCAACAGGAACGGTAAAAAGAGGAGATGGACACCGTGCTTAAAGAGATTCAGGTGGTTCGGGACAACGTAAAACAGCGCGTGGGCGAGAGTCTCCAGGCCATTGCCGCGGCCGCCGAGCGAATCGCTGGGGACGTGTTGAGCGAGCTGGGCACATTCCACAGCCAACTACACACATCGTACAGCTCGTTGGGGAAGGACTGCAAGTCGGTGTTTGAGGAACTGCTGCGGCACATACGCGCGCAGAAGGCCGAGTCGGACAGACTCAAACATGAGCTGGAGGAGGCGAGCCATGCCATCGTCGAGTCGAACGAGTCGGTCTCGACAAGGATACAGGAGGTTTTGGACGAGGAGCGGGCACAGGCAGCAGTGGAGCGGCAGGCCCTTCTTGCGCAAATGACGAAACTCATCAACTCGCAGGCCGAGCTCCAAGAGTCTCGCCTAGCCGAAAAGGCCGCTCTCGTCCAGGACAGCATTGCGGAATCCAACAAGACCTTCCAGGGCAGCGTTTCAGAGTACTCGGCGGGGATGAACGCGTGGAGCGAGCGAGACAGCAAGGTGCTCGAAGAGGTCACCACCTCTAGGGACGCGCTGAAAACCAGGCTCAAGGATGACTGGACAGTAAGTCAAAACCAACAACCCTTTGCAGTAGGCGCCGCTAACAATCCCAGGTCGCAAGCAAGCACAGCACCTCGATCCAAACTACTACCAAGTCGGTCCACGCCGAGACGGTGCGGGTGGTGGAGGAGCAAATCCAGGACCTCGACGTGCAAATGCAGGACCTCGACGACTTTGTATCGCGCGCCAAGTCGCACAACGCGAATCACCACGAGCGGCACAACGAGTCAGTGCAGGGCCTGAACACGACTGTGGAGCAGTCCTTCAACAACATATCCGGCCATTTCAAGGAAACGTTTGGCAGGGTGCAGACCCTCGGCGAGGAAATGAAGGCCGATGCCGAGACACTCGAAAACGCCCTCGAGCCCCTCGACGAAAACATCTGCCAGCCCCTATCCGAGCTCCGAGACAGCGTCCAAAAGACCGAGCTGGCCGAATACGAGCCGACAGGCGAGAGCCCGGAAAAGACCAAATACGACTACCCCACCGAGCTGCCTCGCACCGACGCGCACGAGCTGCTCCTCGCCGCCATGCGCGAGTCGCCCACCCGCAACAGCAGCAACAACAGCCCCTACCCACCAAGCACCATCGTCCTCCCGGACATCAACCTCACCCCGGTGCGCTCCCCGACCCGCCCCGCCACCTCGGACAGCCACCACTCGGAGGGCCTGCGCGAGGTCGACCCTAACCTGGCCTCGGCTACGAAGGCTACGACGGGGGGCGCCGTCATGATGTTCGATGCCGCGCCGAACATGCTCTCGCCGTCGCCCGCTGCGGCCGGCGCCGGCGCGGGTGGCGAAATTGCCACGCCGCTGCCGCTGCTCAAACCGACCACCAACGCGAGGGCTAGGGCGTCCCGGCTGGCGAAGCGGGTGGGGGGGATGGGCGCGGTGGCAGAGGGGGCGGAGAACTTGCCGCCGCCGGCGATGAGGAGCTCGACTAGGAGGAAGAGTCCGCGGTTGCGTTAGTTGGCTTGGTGGTTGGTCGGGGGGTTGGGGCTGGGTTTGGTGGTGTGATGGGGCTGGATTCGGTCGTGTCATGGGGTGATGGTCAGGGGGCGGAGTCAATCTTTATATACTGGGGTTTGTTTTCTTTTGTCTAGGCTGGGCTGGGCTGGAGTTGGTGTGTTGGTGTGTGCTTGCTTTTGAGCTACGATGACTACCTCAGTTGTGTCGTGACTTGGGGGGAGGGTAAATAGGAGGCGTTTTTGGCGGGCTGGCAGGCAGTTGTTTAGGTTGTAGGGTTACTGAGCACCGATACCCCGTGCGGTTCGCGTTGGTTGGTCTTTCAATTCAGAAGCACTGTTATGATGGTATGGCACTGTATATTACGTTTTTACATCTGCGTGCGTTTTTGTTGTTGAGACGTATGTGCATACCTGCTGTTAATCACCTCGAAGTTGAGGCAGTTGACAAAGGAGTTATCTGTTAGCGATGGCAAAGCGCAGGGAGCCAGCAACAGGGAGTCATTACAGAACAGCAAACTACAGTTTTGAACGACCCACTCCCATTGACCAACCGTACCACCAAATTCACCAGGCAGAAAAAATAAAAAAGTGAAGCCCCTAGACCAGGACTGTTGGTGATATTTTGACAAGGGTGAGATTCGAACTCACGCCCCTTTCGAGACCACGGATTTTCTCGGATGAGAAGGGAGATTAAGGGTGGACCTTAACGTGGCGCCTTAGACCGCTCGGCCACCTTGCCTTTGGAATTGTTTTGTGAAGGGCCGGTTTCGGGGGAGGGCTTTTGGATCGTGGGTTTGTGGGTTGTGGGTGGGTGTGGAGTGGGATCCACAGGGACGGTGGTTGAGGGGTCGTCGTTGGTCGGGGTTGGGGTTGGGGTTGAGAGTGGGAGTTCGGAGTGATCAAACAATACCTCCTCATCTTTATTTCTTGGAATTGATAGCAATCGAGTTATGCGATGTAAGTTCCCGGTTACTGCAGGGCGCGCCCTTTGTAAGAGACCCTCACCCTCCTCTCGCCTTCAATTGCGGGGCAAAAGGATATGGTTACATGACAGGAGATCTACAAACCTCGAGGCACTCGCCGGTACGAATTGGGCAGGTACATACCAAGGCATGGTAGGGCACCAGCGGGGGTTGAGATAGCTGATTCGACCACCAGTGTGTGTTCTACGGAAAGGTGACGGCAGGGCATCGGATCCGTCGTATTTAGAACGTCATCTGTATAGTGTATAAGTCAATAAGTGAAAACGACATCAACTTCCCAGCCAGACTCATTCATACCATCCCTCTTCACACTCTATCATTATCACAAGCGATTCTCCAAGCATCACACCCCCAAACCATCATCATACCATCTTTATTACCATCACCGCCGCCAACCACCCCCACCACAACCATGGCCACCCACCCCGACCTCACCACCTTCCGCGCCCTCTCCTTCGACTGCTACGGCACACTAATCGACTGGGAAACCGGCCTCGCCGCCTCCCTCTCCCCGCTCACCACCTCTCTGCCCCCCAACCACCCCTGGCACACTAACCCCTCCCTCGCCGTCGCCCGCTTCAACGACCACTCCAACCACCTCTCCGCCACCCAGCCCACCCTCACCTACCACATCAACCTGGGCCGAATCCGCCCGCCTTCTCGCGGGTGAGGCGCGCGACGTGGGCGACGTGCCGGTACCACTGACGCGAGCAGAAACGCAGCAGTTCGCTGCGAGCGTGGCCGCGGGCCCGGGGCGCTGGCCCGCCTTTTCCGACACGGTCGACGGGCTGTGCAGGCTGCGGCGCTTCTACAAGCTGGTGATTCTGAGTAATGTAGATGAGGCCAATATTGGGCGCGCCGTGGCGGAGGACGGGCCGCTGGGCGGGGTGGGCTTTGATGCCGTGTACACGGCGCAGGCGATCGGGAGTTATAAGCCGAGTTTGGCGAATTTTGGGTATTTGTTTGAGGGGGTGAGGCGGGAGTTTGGGGTGGTTAAGGAGGAGGGGGGGCTGTTGCATGTGGCGAGGAGTCTGCCGGTGGATCATGTGCCAGCGAAGGAGGTTGGGTTGAGGAGCGTGTGGATTGCGAGGGGGGGGGATAGGCCTGAGGGGTATGGGGTGGGAGGGGATTATGAGAAGTTGAGGGCGGAGGGGAAGTTGGGGTTTGAGTGGGTGTTTCAGACGATAGGGGAGTTTGCAGATGAGGTGGAGAGGCAGTTTGCTGAGAAGGAGGCACGCGAGAAAAAGTGAATGTGCTTCATACTTCGTACTTCATGTGTTCGATTTCTCTGTTCGGTATCATCTAAAAAAACGTCGAATCCAGTTCCTCGGATTCTGCCCTAGCCTTCTTGCGTGACCTAAGCGGACGCTGCTGTATGTCCTCTCCCCGCCACCCCTTCCTCATCTTGATCGGCTGGAGAAACCCGTCCACGTGCACGCCACCGTCCATTTCATCCGCGCTGTCCTCCTCGTCGTCCGTAAACGCGGCCGCCCGCTTGCCGTGTACCTCCCTGAGGTGTCGAGACAAGTTTATCCGCTTCGTAAACCCCTCGATAGCCCTGGGGCAATGGGAATAGGGGCAGAAGTGGGCAATTGCAGGTGTGCCCGACCGACTACGACGTGCGGGGGGGGATTCTTGCTCCATGGGCAAGAGCTCTGCGCCGCCAGGTAGCTGATTGTCGTGCTTCCTCTTGATGTGTCTATCAACGTTTCTCCTCCTTGCAAATGGCCTGTTGGCTCTATCGCAATCTGGATAAGGACAAACCAACACTGCTAGCGTACCCGACCTACCCTGGCGGCTAACCGACGCCTTAGGCTCTAGCTCGGGTGATGATGAGCCAGCCGGTTTCACACTCGATTGGCGACTGATTGTCCGGAGCTGTGCCAACTCCTCCCCAGAGTCATCGTCGTCATCTGAAGATGGAGGGAGAGATCCGCCAGGTACATACCGCATGGTCTCCGCACCGGCCTTACCGGACGTAGCAGACTTCTCATGCAGCGTATGTATCGTCATCCCCTCCCCAAACAGCGTCGAGCATCTCTGGGTGGCACGAGCGATCACCGTTGGTGAGAAGCCAGCCAAGGCGGCAGCACCCAGCACGCTTCGCCAGTTACGCAGGCCCCATCTGGCGAGCAGCTTCTCCCTGTTGGCCTCGACTGAGGTGCTGGAGCTTTTAGATCTTGCTGACCCCGAACTAGCCCGCGAAGTGGCCTTTGAGGCCACCGATGCTGAGCGCTCCCCCCTACCAAGACTGTTGCCCCTGCTCCTATCGCGGTCGGCCTCTCCCCCAGATTCTACCCCTGAAGAGAATGTTGGTAGTTTTCTCCTGTTTTCTCTTGCCACTCTAATCAACATCTCCTGCTCTGTTTCCCCCTCCCGGGGGACATGCACCTTCCTAGGTCGACCCCCCCCTCGCGACTTTGGTCGTACCCGAGGCGCTTTATCCAGCAGGCCCTCTACCTCTACGTCTGTCTCTTCCTCGTCACTAGCAGAAGACTCAGACATGCTGCCAAGGCCAGCCATACGCTGGTTATGTAGGACCATGAGGGTGTCGTCAAGCCTTGACATGATCCGGCGCGTCGCTGGCCGAAGCAGCGCATACGACCGCTCGTCGTCAGCTGATACGACGGGCGTAAATGTCGGCGACACGGGGCGCTGCTGGTGCCAGGGCGTTCTGCGCGGCTCGTCCGTCTCCTCGTCCTGGTCGGTCGTCTCCCCGATATCCGACGCGTCCGTCTCGCCTTCTGTCGTAGCATCGGCCGTCTCGATAGACTGCACCACGGGCTCTCCGTTCCCCCGCGGACCCTGCAAGTCCCTCTTCCAAAACCGCTCCTTCGCATACCGCAGAATAGTAGCCGAGATCTCATCCTCCAAATCACACCCTACAAACGGCCGCCCCTGCTCCCGCCGAAACGTAAACGGCTCATTCACATCCGCCGTGCGCGGCAGCAACCCACCACCAGGCACCTCATCAGCCCTCATCGGCCACGCGGTCCATGCCTTCCCCGGCTCCCACCCCTCCCCCCCCTTCCAACCAACACCACCACCACCCCCCTCCCCGTCCCCGTCCCCAACACCGCCACCACCACCCCCACCACCCCCTTGACCCTGACCCCGACCCTGACCATCCTCAACATCCGGCCCAACCCTCAACCCCCTGCGCAACGCAAACACATTATACAAATGCACCGCCAGGTCCTCTTTCCGCGCGTTCTCCAGCGCCAGCCACGTGCGCCGCTCGCGCTCGGTCCACGTCTTCCAGGTCGACGGGTGGCCGCGCCAGCGGTTGGGGCGCGTCTCGTGGAGGCGGTCGGAGTCGGAGTCCGAGGCGGAGTCGGAGGCGGAGGGTGAGGGCGAGTCGTTGGTGGGGTTGCGGTTGGTGTTGTTGGAGGGGTTGTTGTTGTTGTTGTTGTTGTTGTTGTATGGTGAGGGGGGGTATGAGTAGGGGGAGGAGTCTGGGTTTGGGTAGGGTTTGGCGTCTGTCTTGAAGCTTGGTTCTGAGTCTGGTTCGGAGTCGGGCTTGAGGTCGGGTTGGAAGTCTGGTTGCAAGTCGAGTTCTGAGTCCGGTTCGGATCCTGGTTCGGGTCCCATGTAGGGGTCTGGGGAGCCCGAGTCGCGTGGTGGTTGGTGCATGTTGATGTCGGTGTTGGTTTCGATGTTCCCAATGTTGTTTTATATGTGTCGGTTTCGGAGGAGGAACATTGGATCATTGAATGAATGAGTGAAAATTGGGGTTGATGGAGTTGAGTGTTGGATCAAATTAATGGAACATGAGACTTGGATGGAATGGTTCACCGACGCAGGATTTGTTGTATGTACAGTCCATTTATGTGAAAATTTGAGTGGTAAATTTCCTCGACCGTGTTGAAATGTTAGTTTATGAGTTCCAAATCTGAAATAGCAATGAGTGCGGGTTGAAGAAACAGTACCCAGTCATTGCACATACGAGACCTGGCTGTGAAGAACAAAAGCTGCGAGTGAGAGTGAGCCTAGGTTGCAGAAAGATGGAAGGCAAGAACCCACCACACAACCCTAACCCATCATTCCCGAGGATTAATCGACGACACCTTCATCAGCGTACGCACTTATACTTGGGTTCTGTTGGATGACCTGGGCTCTTTTATTTATAGATATGCTGTAAATGCTGCGGCGAGCTTTAAGTTGTGGCGGCGTGGATGTTTACAGATCACCACGAGGAACACTTCGATGGTACAGGTATCATTATATTAATCCAACCCAAAAAAACACTACGCTTTCTTCTCCTTCTCCAGCCGCCTCCTCTTCTGCCTCAGTTTCAGGTCCTCCGCGCTCTTCTTGTTGTTCGTGTACTGCATCTGCTCAAACAGCTTGCGCTTCTTCTTGCTCAGCATCCCCTTAGCCCGCTCCAAGTCCTCGGCCTCGCTCTTCTTTTTCCTCTCGAGCGCCTTCTTGGCCTCCAGCTTCGCCTTGGTCTTGGCGTCCATCTTCTTGTCACCCTTCACCGACTTGCCCGAGATCTCAGCCTCGAGCTCTCGCTGCCGCTGCAACGTGGCCGATTCCTCCTCGTCCTCGGAGCCCTCCTCCTCTTCGGACACAGAGACCCCATCAAATTCCTCCTCATCTTCCTCTTCCTCGTCTTCGTCGGAGGCGACGTCCATGTCATTCTCAACATCGGATTCTTCGCCCGCCTCTTCGTTGGCATCTTCCAGCTCGGCATCGATCGCCTCGCCTTCTGATTGCTGCTCCTCCAGAGGAATGGTGGGATCGTACTGCCCTTGTGTGGGCTTGACGAAGGGGCTGAGATGCGGCGGGAGTGCCGCGCCAGGGCCATACAGCTCGGGGCTCTTCAGCTCCTCGTCGTTGACGCTGTCCCACACCCATTGCGGCTGCACGTACAGACGCCCGGGGTACCGGTGGTTAGGCCCGACCTTCTGCGACGTCTGGTTGTCCTCGCCATCACCCTCCTCGTTCATGGCGGCCTGGACGACTGGCCTGTCGACGATCTGATGCGTGATGGACGGGTCCGACTCGTCCGTTGTGAAGGAGCCCTCGCCGAGAACAGAGTCCCAGCCTATCCTCTTGCAACCAAACGCGCGGAGGATGAATTCCAGAGACTGGCGCGGGGTTTCGCGGGACAGGAAGAATGTGAGCCTGGAAAACAACTGCGCTGGGTCGCTGCTGCTGTATGACGGCTGGGGAAGAACATCGCCGCCGGGGGCGACAGGCTCAAACTTGTCAATGGCATCGCTGGGCTTCTCTTCGCCCTCGACATCATCGGCAGGGCCCTCCTCAGACGCCTTATCGTCCGACTCAACCCTTAGCTGTTGCACAATCTTGTCCACCTCGGCCTGGACCTTGGGATCGGGGCCGTGCTCCGCCTCGCCATTCGTAATGGCCTTGGTGTCATCGTTTGTCGCAATGTTGACGCCCTCGAGCGCAAAAGCACCAAGCTCAGCACCCTGGTCATCCTTGAGCTGGTCGAACTTGGGTGGGTACTTGAGGCCGACGGCCGTGTACAGGCGGTAGTTGACAAATCCGAGCAGCGTCATATAAAACTCGACAAAGGTCCCCATGATGCGGAAGTCGACATCCCCGACGACCCTCTGGTTGAACTTGTACGGCACCAGCCACAGAATGTCCTCGCCCTGGATGCTGGCCTGGTAGTATATCCCCTTGATCGACAGGAACGATTTGCGGAGGCTATGTGAGGTGATGAGGTAGTGCTCGAACTCGAGGCAAAGGCGCTCGCAGCGGGCGATCATCTTGGCCGGCACGGCAGTCGTGGACGGGAGGTTGGCAAACAGGAACAGCATCGACAAGCAGTCGTCCAGATCGCGCAGGGCGTCGATGAAAGTTGGATAGCGCTCGCGGATGACGTGGTTGAGCGTGTAGCGCGGCTTGCCCGTCTTGTCGGGGCGGGCGGCATTGCGCTCGAGCCGGGCGGCGTCGCCGACATCACCGCGGCCGAGGGCGCGCGAGATCTTCTTCTCGAGAACCTTTTGGTCGCGGAACTTCTGCAGCAGCGGCTCATGCAGGAGATACTGAATGTCCTTGGTGTAGTAAAAGGTGGTCGAGGCGGTGGCCGACTTAGACACCTTCTTGCGACTCCGAGGCTCGCGCGGGTAGATGCCCTTCCAGATGCACAGCTTGCGGAAGTCGGGCAGACTGAGTTGCAGTTTCTTAACCGCTTGCGTGCGCGTAATGTAATTCTTGGCCTGGCCGGATTGGCCCTTCTTCTTGAGTTTGCCCATTTTGTCAATTGGTTGTGTTGATGGGCGGCGGAATCTGTCGCTCAACCCTCTCCTCTGCAAGAAGATCTTCCTGGGTAGCGGGGGCCATCGCCGAACTTTTGGATTTTTTTATCCAGTAACTTTTTTATGCCTCTCCTCACCGCTCCTGCCGATAAGATGCGCTTGGTCCCTGCCAAGACCATGCTGCGGCCGCCTAGCAGTGGGTGGAGTCCCTGTTCCTCACTGATTCGCTGACACGACACGACTCGACTCCAACTGCATCCATCTCGAATTCGAATTTGGCCTCTTCACTTCCCATGTCCGGGCTATGGCGCATTGAGTTATGGATGGCGCCAAGGTAACCCCGGGGCGGACGGCAGGTCTGTATGTTGGCGCTGCCGTTCTGCGGTTTGCCATTTTTACACTCCTTCCCGGACTCCCAGATCTGCTGACGGGCCGCGTCGAAATCTCGACTCCTGTCACGAGCTTCAAACGATGTAAGGCCATCTACAACCCGCGCTTCTGTTCCGATGTTGACACCTTGTAGTACAGGAAGGTCTCTTTTTATACAATCACAATGTCTCTCCCTACGACGGCGGCGTCTACCACCAAGCGCCCCTCCTCCTTCCGCTCTTCTCGCTGCTCCCGAGCTTCACGAGCGCCCCGATCTTTACCTACCTTCTCTACATCGCTGTGGATTTGTTGAGCGCTGGCGCATTGTGGCGGATTGCAGACTCCGGTGAAGCGGGGTCATCCGCTCTGTTTACCTCGCCGCGCCGGGAGAAGCGATGGAGCGGGTTTGTGATTGCTGCTCTGTATGCGCCCCTTCCCGAGCCCCTCTACGTTGCATACTCTAACCCGGCTCGGCTCAGTTTTCTCTTCAGCCCTTTCACCGTAGCAACATGCCTCGGCCGCTCGACTAGCGTATTCACAACCTGTGCCATCCTCCACGCCGTTGCCAAGGCCGTGTCGGGGGCGCCCTTCGGCGCCATGGTCGCAATCTCGTTTGCCAGCTACCTCTCGTTGTACCCGCTACTCCTCCTCCCGCCGCTCGTACTCCTCTGCTATGACAGACAGCGGTCTGAACGATCCGCCAAGTCTGCCGTCAAATTCGCTGCGATTAGCGTATCCACCGTTGCCGGCGTGTTGGCAGCCCTCTTCCAGATGTCGTACCTCATCACCGGTTCCTGGGAGTTTATGCCGTCGACCTATGGTGTGCAGCTGACGCTCTCGGACCTGACTCCCAACGTGGGGCTTTGGTGGTACTTCTTCATTGAGATGTTCGACTCTTTCCGCTCCTTTTTCCTCGCTGTCTTCTGGCTGCACCTGTCGAGCTACGTCGGCGGCCTGACGGTGCGCATTCGTCGCCAGCCGCTCGTCGCACTCACTCTGATTCTCGGCATATTTGCCATCTTCAAGCCGTATCCGAGCATCAGTGATGCGGCACTGTTTCAGGCCATGGTGCCGCTGTACCGCCACGTGGTTCCGCTGATGCGGTACACCTTTGTCAGCACGGCCGTCATCATGTACGCGACCTGTCTCGGGCCGGCATTTTACTACTTGTGGATATATGCCGGCAGCGGGAACGCGAACTTTTTTTACGCCATCACGTTGGTGTGGAATTTAGGACAAAGCCTGCTGGTGTGCGACTTGTTGTTTGCTGTGTTGAGGGATGAGTGGGAGGTGGAGAGGCCTGAGATGATGGGCAAGGAAATCCGACAAATATAGAGTAGCCTGCTGCACGTCCAAGATAATCATTGCCTGTCCTACAACTGGGATACTCGAAAAGAAATCTACTATGCAACCTCCCTCCTGTAATCATGGCCGGCTCCCTAATACGACATGTACATCGTCCGCAAGCTGCTTTTAGACCCGATGGGGCTTGAAGCGTGAACGGTTTGAGTTTCAGTAAAATGATAAACTCAAAGACGTAACCCATCTTATAACTCGGCATGCCCCCAGAAAAACCGGAGTTACTCTCGCCACCGTCACAAAAGCCCATTACTATTCAATGGTAGTGATATGCGTAAACCTAAGGCTTTTAAAGTTAAAAGCTAAACATGTCGAAGATGCCTAGTATTATAAAACTGAAAACTGATCTCCCACAAGTAGATGGTTAACTAGAGATCCCAACCGTGCAGCCGCCCTCATATTATTTACCCAAATAAAACTAGAGGGAAACCGGGCAACCAGCCATCGACGCCAGCCTGAGTTCGTCGGGAACCATATCGGCACCGAGCCATAAGACGGATGTTGGTCAGCTGCTGTATGCCCTTGTCCCGGATCCTAAATCTGGAAAGATGCAAATAAACACAAACTATCGGGGCTTTAACTCAGCGCGCTAGAACACAGACGCATGAGAACACATGTCGCAAGATGGGCATGGCTTGGACAAAGACATCACACTCGATAAGCTTCTTTGCCGGGTTTCTCCTACTCCCAAGGGGCCGATACTAAAACCCAAAACCGCCTCAGCCACAGGCGCGGGAGTTCCATGAGCCAACTGTTGTGACAACGTAAGGACTCGAATCATGATATCCTCCACGGAGAAGACGTCCGCTTTGGCGCTCTCGACAAACTGCTAAACATTCGGGTCCTTTGGACTCCATCCGTTTGCGAGCACCTATGATTTAATGCAAGAATGAAGTAACTAAAGCTGTTCAGGTTTCCGTCCTACTGTGTACTCCTGTGTCTGCTGGAAGCCAAGGGAACTTATCTCGATGGGTGAGCAAGATCAATGCATACTACAATTCAAGACACAGTTCTGCTAATATCTCGTTAACCCCTGCTTGGAACATGAGGGTCACAGCAGCCCGGACGTGGTAGTGGCAGATTTTCTCCGTGAGATTCTGCCGACCTACGATCTAACATTCGGCCAAAACAAGGAAGCCAGGGCGCTCATGGACGAAGACTGCGGAAGGGGCCGGTTTCTCGGATTTAAGACTTCATTCTACGATGTGCCTTAGCACTTGATAAAGACCTCGACATGACGGATCTCAGACTTTTATATCTCGACGTCAAATTCCCCTTTTCGCCCACCGGATTTCACTTTTGAACCAGTACGTCCGCGACCAGCTTCTGCAAAACCGGAAGGTTGCGCAGAGCAAACGCGGGAATTTATCCAAGTTCTGAACCATCGGGGGTAGTTTTATGTCAGGTCAAAATAGCAAACACCATACCCAACAAAAAAAAGAGAGAACCGTGAGCTAGCAGTCAAACACAGCACAGAAAAGGGATGGAAAATTGACGGTGCTTATCTGGGTTGGAAATAATACCAAGTACATCTCTATTTGGCATCTCGAGTGGCTTTCTCCCGGTAATGAGTGAGGGAGATTCTTTATCGCGGATTTGCCCTTTCCCAAATGAGGTTGTAAGTGCTTTCAAGCCACAGGTCATCAACTCGATAAGTGGCCGGCCCCTGTAGGACAAGACAGCACCACAGCCCCACTACACGGCATCATCACGTCTCACACCGCGATCAAAGCGGCCTCTCCCTGCTCACACTTTTTATTCGTTCGTTCGGTACCTCCCATCAACATGGCACCGATACGCCGCTACCTCAGGATCACCAAATACTCGGTTCTCGAATGTCGCATCTACCTGGACAACCCCGCACTGGCACAATCATGGCTGCTCAATCCGCGGGACCCCGTCCTCCCCAAGGTCATCGAGAGCGTGCGGCCGCTGGTCCTGCCCAAGCTGCGCGAGGAGCAGGAGCGCGAGCGGACCCGGAAGAAGAGCAAGAAACGGAGCATCAAAGACGTGGTCATCGAAGGTGGGTTAACTACTCGTTACGAGAGCGTTACGTTACGTGTCTTCATCTCGCTCAACTCAGCTGCCAAGTCCCCCGTCATCCCGGGCAATAACAAAGCATATGCTGAGCAACCCAGATGGCTTTGAGGTGTCGATCTTTTTGACCGAGACCGACACGCGGCACTCGCTGCTACACAAGAGGAAGCTGTTCCGGGACAAGATCCAGACGAGGCTCACCTCCAACTCGTCCAAGCTGATGGGCGCATCCCACGACGAACCCATCGACGTCGAAGGGCAGTTCCCGCAGGGAGATGATGACGTACCGATCATCCGCGAGGAGGACGGCGATGGCCAGAACGCCATCAACCTCGCCGACATTCCCATGGCGGATGAGACAGCAGCAGACCCGGAACCCACCAATAGGAGACCTAAGCGACGACGCCCCCATGGACAGGGGGAGGAACCGGAAAGAGGCTCCGAGGATGGGAGCGGCGCGGAGGTGGTGATCGATGATTCAGATCCATCGGACGGTGAGCTGTTTGTGGGTGAGGAGGGGGAGAGCGACGAGAGTGATGCCGCGACTGGCCCGCGGCCGCCCAAGCGCCGCAAGGAGAAGGCGGCCGCCGAGGGTGACACGGCAGCAGCAGGGCGGGACGACAAAAAGAAGATGGCCATGGATATCTCGTACGATGGCTTCGCCATCTACGGACGCGTGCTGTGCCTTGTGGTAAAGCGGCGCGGCGATGGCGCGGCCAAGACGGGTGGTTCAGCTGCTGTCCCGTCGCGCGCGAAAGATCAAGCTGGCCGGCCTGGCGGCCAGGCCATGATGGAGAACTGGATCGCATCTACCCAGCTTCCCGAGACGGTTGGGGAAGGAGATACGCTACTATGAGACGGCACCCAATTGCCGGCCGGCCGGCGCGGGGGCGGGAGATGGGCCGATGATTGGGGCCCGCGCCGCCTGTTAGCTTGTTACTTGTCCTTGCCGCTTGATGTCATTGAACAGGGGAATATCGCCTTTTCTGCCAGCCCGGGCTGATGATGAGCTGGAGATACCCCGCAAACTTGTTTCACTTCCCTCGCTTGGAGATGCCTCGTGAGAGATAGACATGTAGGATCATCATTCCCATCCTGGAGTTGGCCAGACTCAGCCCCGCCCCTCGCCAATCGTTATTGCGCCAGAGCCAAGATGAAACGGGCGACTATCAGCATCGGGGATTTGCTAAATCCTTGGTTTGAAAGCGTTGATGCTTTGTCTTAGAAATCGGCTCTGGTACGAACGAACTAAGCCGGGGTTTGTGCTGATGGGATCGCGGGGATTCGGACTCTGCCCAACTTGTACTGGCTTGACTGGCACGCCTGGGACTATCGCACTAACTCCGCATCGCAAAGTGCCGGTTGATTGAGTCTTGCGACGGAAGCGGCGATCTTGGGCGCAACAGGCCAAGGGCCGTCCAGCCACATCGCCGACCAGACGTTGCGCAGGGAACGCTACCACCAAAACGGCCAAGCAAGTGTGCGCTACTGCCAGGTACTCCCGTTTCTCTTCCCGATCCGTCCCGAAGGTCGAATGGCCTGTTTTACGGGGCGGCTCGAGAGGCCTGACTGGCGTCAGCTGGTCACGAGAGAGCAGCCGTCCCTCGGTTGCTGGTTGATGCACATCTCATTCGATATATCGGACGCCACGGCCGTGCATCAGACCATGCTGCCACGCGGCCGCCCGCCTAGACTTTTGGAGGGTGACCTGATTGAGCAAACCCCAACTAAATCCCATCATTTGGGCGCATACGCCGCCCATTTCCGGATGGCCAAGAATAGCATGCAGCGATCGTCCGAATACCCAGCCAAGGGTGTACCAGGGTTGCAAGTTCGTACCAACTTGGAAGTACAGTACATCCATAACATCCCACCAATATGTCCGGGCGTTTGGTCTCCGGATTCAACACGGGAAGACGGCTCCAACCTGGAAGTCCCCAAACATGAACCCCCACGTACCAGGGCAATTGCAATTCTCTCGAAACGTCGCTTTCGGCTGAATATGGGGACGCAACGAGGGCGTGTCGGCAGCGGCTCGGGGTTTCCTTTTTGGCTCCCGCACACAGGAGGCTATCGACACAGCCAAGATAAGGTATACGACGCCGTGGAGGTGCTCCGGGGCCAAAGGGTCAAACATCGACTCGCAAGCGATTGCTGCGTCCGTGCGTCGCCTGACTGACCTGAATTGACTTTCAGGGTGGGTGGCAGTGGGCCGCAGGAAATGCAGCAGCCCGTCCCTGCCATTGCCCGAAATAGCGGTAAACAAGGGCTCGTCCAGGCTTAGGTCGGTTAGTCTCCGTTTTCTGTGTTCGCGGGTGGCTGACAGCGCCATCTTGTTTTTCAGCCTCGTCAGCGCGCACAACCACCGACACAAGTTGCCGAAAACCAGAGATTACAATTTCTTTGTTTCGTGATGGCGTCCCGCCCCTTCTTGCGCGGTGGCTGGCTAGGCGGGCGCGGCGGCTGCTCTTGCGACGCGAACAAAATTTGAGCCGCAACTTGGGTGGAGGTTGTGCATGATTACAAAACCTGGGCCCCTTGTCCCCCTTTTTTTCAATTCGGAGTTTGCGACAGCCAAGCTGGCCTCTCATCCGCGAGTTCGTCCGAACCGGGGCGGAAATGGGGCTCTGGGGGGTTCTCTTGTGCATGTGCGTGAGCGCGCGATCGGCCAGGGGCAGGACTGCGCCATCCGCCCTTTTTCCACGTGGTGCGGCAGGGATGTTAGCCACGCCGCCCAGTCAGCTGTGCGTGGGGACCTCGGCTTTCCCCTGGTTTCAGGATTTTTAATCGGTCATTCGGTGCCTTTCATTGGCGAGGATGCGGTGGTCTGTTCGTTCGCAAGGCCGAACCCCGGACGATGGCCAGGACCCTGAGCTGAACGCCTGGAGAACGATCGACGGAGTACGGGTAACGGCAGCTAGCAAATTTTCTCTGCTTGTTCTTTTCCGCGGTGTTCGGTGTTTGCCCTCGTGAGCAGGCCGAGATCCACCCTCATTTGCAGTTTACGGCTGTGTATTTTTTTTTTTTATTCTTCACGAGTTTTCAAGGAAGGGCGGTTCAATTCCGAAGGGGAAGTGGACCTCCGGCGGAGCCCGAAAACCGAATTACCGGACAGACCCATCAGCAAGCCGCTTTCTTATTTTTTTCTGTGGATGTTCGGATGAAAGAAAATGATAATCAGAGATGACGACAGAAATCGTGTTGCTTTCGTTTCGGGCCAGCCAGCAGAGTGGACACGAGCGATAAGCATTGGCTGGTGGGGATCTCCAGACTTCCCGGACCTGCACCGCCGAGCTGTGCCCGCTGACTGCAGAAAGTAACTGACGCAACTGGCACGCAAGGCTGCACAGGATTGGGTGTCGTGAAGTTTGGGTGTCCCAAAAGAGACCGTAAGGCTGGCAATCGTGCAGATGGTGTCTCTGTCTGAGCTCGGTAGCGCGGTCATCAAATCACCTTTCAGCCGGAAAAGGAACCACGGACACCCTTTTCAGCTCCGTTGGGCATGGATGCGACATGTCACATTCGAAATCAGTGAAATGTTTGGTTGGGCTGACACGTGGAAGAAGACACCGCCTCCATTCCACCCACGCTTGGCGGCTCGGAGATATTCTTGCTCGGCACAAACGGTCCCAACAAACATTTTTACCCTGCGACATGTTCCATGCATGGACCGTTGTCTCTCTCTCTTGCCACGGCATCCTGGGGCCAAGGAAAAGGGGTCTCTGGGATTCGGGGCGAAGAACCGGCGGTGAGTGACGTGACGGGAAATGGCATATGAGCAAACCCCATCGTGGAACAGGCTTCTGATCTTCTGGAAGGTTGGAAAAACCGGGGTGTGCTTGTCACACCGAAGGGCCAACCACATCGTGCGGCGGCCATGCCGGGCAAACGGCGCCACGCTGCTGCCCTGATGCTGGACGGGAATGGCTGGGCGGGACCCCCAAGCCAAGGCCGAGACAAGGTTGGTGGGTGGGAGAGTGTGGTGTGGTGGATGGGACACATCCTCCCTTCCGTGGGTGGTCCGTGTCAGATGACCGCTTTCTCTTACACCACCTCCGCCGGGCAAATTGATCCTTGGCTCTCCGGGATAGATTAACAAACGCCTTCACCGCTCATGAATGCGAGAAGATTTCAAACCGACCGAACGGGGACCATCCCAGGACAATTGCCCCAGTGCGGGAAGAGAAGAATTTTCTTCCCTCGTGGTGAGCCGCATCGGATGCCTACATCCCTCATCCATGCAAAGGCTTTGAGCAGAGTTGGCGATGACGAACGGTTGCGGCTTGGGCGGGGCCGACAAATGGCATTGGTTCCAAGCTGCCGGGTCGTGTTCGCACGGCCGCTGCTCCGTTCCGGTGTTGGCGACACTGGCTGACAACCGTTTGTGGGCGTCCCTATGTCCGTTTTGGGGGCGAGTGATGGATGCGTTGACCTCGGTGAAGTCTGGAGTTACCCGATACGCGATTGCTAGTCAGCGGAATAGTCTCCGAATCCCGCCCGTATATGAGAAAGTTGCTGAGTGAGATTTGTCCGACCGAGCACGACGTGTGTTATCGTCCCGACCTGGTCGAGCACACCATTTGGCTGACTTCTGGGCCATACTGATTGCGCATTATTATTGTGTTTGCTGACGCACTTGATATCGCATTCGCAGAGAGACACACACAATGCGCGCGCATACCTTGCCTATACAGCGGCTAATTATGTTGTGTGGGCTGCGCCTTTTCGTGTTGTCACCTTGTGCGACTTTCGGTTGTCGGCTCTGTTTGCTGCAACCTCGACATGCTGCCGCTCTCGCTGTGCCACCTTCAGCATCCGCCCCCGCCGCTGGCATGCGAGCGGGAAACATGTTGTGTAAGTGATGCCAAAAATACGTCGTTTCGGTTTGAGACGACATGTTTGAACAGCCGCTCCGCGGTTGCAGTTGAGATAGTATGTCTTCGTAGTATTATCACAGCGCCATCGGTGTCGAAGCGCGGCAGTATCACGTTAAGCGCTGATGGTACGGCGGCTGGCTTCTTCCGTCAGTCACCGAGCTGCCGCCGGCGCCTAGGCGATGCGCCGGGCTGTAAACGCTGGACTTGGTCTCAAGTTGAGGGCGTCGCAGCATACGGGCATTGATGGTGTTTCCGTTCGCGGCCGCTGACTGTGAAGTTAATCTCGCAGTTGTTTGTTACCTGCCGTTTTCCTTGGCTCGCTCACTAGCCCCGAAGGACTCACCTGCCAAATCCTCCGGAATTCAAGCTCAACCTGCTTACACCTCCCAACCCCATCCTGCCTGATCTCTGTCACCCACACCCCGGCAGCTCGGAACCCGAGCTTGCCAGCACATCGGCGTGCGTCCTGCGTATGTGAGTCATTGACTCTTTGGAATGGGTCCGCAGGGCTCCGGAAACGTGGGCGGCGAGCGGGGTTCACACCGCGGGTTTCCAAAAGAGGGAAGCTACACAGGACTGGGGAGGAAAAAAACACACGCCAGGCGCCCTGGGCGCTACTGCAGCTGCGGCGAGGCAACATCGAAACCCACGTTGTGTTGGTCACTCGCCGGCATGTCTCGACAACCCTGCCCCAAACGGATGCGAAGGGAAGGGAGGATGGCATTTCTTCGTCACAGGTCTCATCGGATGACCGAAAAAGTGCGGGGAAATGATAGCCCTGCGTGCCCGATGCGTGGGGCCCAGGTCAGGTACCAAGGTCTGTTCGCGGGTGCACACCTTGGTGTCCAATCATGGCCGCGCTTCCCGAGCCCGTTCCTGGGCCAAGCCTAGCCTTCACACCACCATGCCCAGACTTGTTGCAGCCTTACACAGTAGAGACGGCCATCAAACAACGCGGTCAACGCGGCCGTTTCCGTTTGCGTTTGCGCTTGCATCGCTCCGGGGTCGCTGCCGACCTGATGTTGAGGCATAAACATACAGAACCAGACCGTTCTGGAGCCGAAGCGGCTGCATGCCGCCTTTCGGAGCAACTTGAAGGTTGCGCGCGGCTGCGCAACGCCGGGACGGCCGGCGTGGCCGAGTGAAATAGGGAAAACGAAAAAGGAGGCATTTCCTTCACAGTGCTCCCGTCTCCCAGCCCTGGAAACGCAGTTCTTGGCGTACCCCAGACCATGGAGGACAATTGACGAAAAAAGAAAAATGCAGGTGGATCGGGGGCGCCTCAACCACGCCGTGATTGGCTTCCCCAGGAAAGGCTCAGGAACAAAGGGATGATGCGATTGCGACGGGGCTGTCTGTCTTGGGACGGACGCTCCTGGCTGTTGATCTGTCGTCGGGGTGCCCCAAATTTGGGTGTCGCATTTCGTGCGTGATGTTCCAAGCCACGCCTACATAGAGACGTGGCAGTTTTGCGCACGCCCCGGAGGATACGAGGAGCCGAAGGCAGGGGGATGTCATGTTGTTTTTTGTGAAGGGCCGCAGAAGTGGCCGGCTGACCACAGACGGACCTGTGTCGGCCGCTTCGCCAGATGCTGCCCCGATTCAACGCCTGTCTCGGCGCAAGTGGCCATTGTTTCTGAAACATGGAGAGAACAGTTTCCCCGGGGGGCAACTCAAATCGTGGAAACATGTTCCCCTAACCCCAATGTTCAATTCACAGACCGCCAGTATCACAGGAAATTGCCAGTACCCCTGATGAAAATCTTTTGGCATTGGCGGCCCCTGATGCATTGCTGTCAACATTGCCGAAAGCCCTGCGATGATCCACCCCTGGAAACCCCAAGTGTAAATTTTGCTCGCGCACAAGTCTCTCTCCGTTGAGAAATTTGTCAAGTTGTTGAAATTGCTTGTGGGGTTCGTAGGCGCACACAAGGCTTCTCAACCCGCGTCCGTTTGAACGGAGGTCTCCACACTTTCAATTGCAACCCTGATTTGCATTGTCCACGATCGCCCTCAGCTCAGCTGTGAGGCGCCCATTTCGGACGCAACGGACGGCCCAGCTGCTTTGCTGCAACCCCCGAACTCCGCATGACGGGCGCTTCCGTTTGCGCCTCCAGGCCAGTGTGTGTGTGCCCCGTCTGACGATGCAAGACCTGCCGAATGCGGGTTTGTATGCTGCCTGCGGAGATGCCCAACCGAATCGGCCGCCGCCTATGCTCACTCACATGAGATGATGATTTGATTGATGCCTTTGCTGGCGGTCGAGCGGGGAAGAATGAGTCGACCAGGCGGCGGCCAGGCAACCGGGCGGCCGTTTTGCTTCCGCACGATGGAGTCAGTCTCGTCGACCGCTCTTTTGTCGAAATTTCAAGGCGTCAAGTCGGCTTGGAGGCGTGGAGGCGCGCACATGTGGCATGAACGAGGTATGTCCTGTACCTGTTCGTGTCTCCCGACCGGGGCCAGGCGGTATTAACAGACAGGGAGCCATCCCGGCTCTGATGCAGCGTTTCATTTCTTTGTGGTGGTCATCGAGAACCCGGCCGCCGCCAAGCAATGGCTACGTCACCGCAACTTGGGGTTCCGCGGCGTGTCACTGTACTTTTTTCGCTCATCTGCACGACTCGGCCTTGGCGGAAACTTCGGGCAGCTTCGCGTGGGGGCCGCCCTGGCTCCCAAAGTACCCTGCCCTCCGTTTTCCGTACCGAAGACTTCCGCATCGAAGTACCTGGAGACCCACAAGTCCTGGGCAGCCCTGTCAGTGAACTTGCTCCTTTCTCTGCTTGGCTTGGAAGAGTAATTTGGAAGTTGTCAGGCATGCCTCCCTACATAAAGCAGCCTCTGCCCTCTCCCCCTACCTCGTAGTCTGTATTCAAATCTGAACCCATCGACAGACCTACATCAGCACTCACAGAACACTCAAAGAGAACCTAGCCTTCTCCTAGCGACTACTTCACCACAACCTGCTTCCCGGCTTTGACCCGTAAGCACCAACAACCAACGACCAACACCCAACGGCCTTGCCTCATAACACCCACCAACCGTCAAGCTGGCTACCTCAACCAACAACCAGTCTACCTTCACCATGATGCCCTCTCAGAGACCGTCTCAACTTCCTCCCTGCCCCGGCCCGCCGCCGAGCAGGCCTCTGCCTCCTCTTCCCAAGAGGGGTTAAGAGAAAGGGTCGCCAACCAATGCGACCCCCTTCGGGATTCGATATGTCGCATGTTTCATCACTCGGTTACTAGGCTTCGCGCATCTCTTATCTGGGAGATCGCCGCGAGCCGCACGTTCTGATATCTCCATGGTCGCTCGCGCACGCGGGGGCTGCTACACAGCGCTCCCACTCTGGTGTCATTTGCATTGGTTCCGGACGCAGCATTCCTGAGCTGCACGCCATCGTGCCTTTGCATATCTCCAAGCCGCATATTTGGCGAGATGCAGCAACCAGCCCCTCTCGACCAGCAGCCTCAACTCGGGCTAATTCACCCGCCCACCCTTCACGCATGGCTTTTTTTAGCCACTGATTGGCCGACCCAGCAAGCAGCCTCCGCCCCTCGAAAGCTCACAGCATGCTGTGTACACATCTCTCGGCTGAGCGGCCACCACCATCTTAACCCGGCTGCTTCATGGCGAAGCAGTCGCACGACATCACACCATCTTTCTGTGGATGCATCCCGAGAGCCGGCTCAGGGAGTCTCGGTTTTCACCCGTCTTTCACTTTCAACCTTATCGGCGCAACGCACATGGGCGCATTCAACCCCCTTGTACCACCACCTGGGAATACGGACATTTAATCAATGGCTTTCTCTCTTTTTTTCCCTCTGACTTTTTCTTTATCTTGTTTGGGCGACGACATCGATATCAAGTGTTACGACATTTCGGCACATCTGGGGGAATTTAGAAAGGGATTGGGTTCACTGTACTACTACGAGCATTTTTGGGTTACCGGGCGTCAAATGATACCCACGTCGCCGATACCCCGCAAGGAGGCAGAGTTATGAGGGCGACGAGTGAGCGGGGTTGGAGGCGAGGGGCCGGCCAGGGGGATCGGGGATCGGATAAGGGCAGGTTGGGCTCTCCTTTGCACCAGACTACATACCTGGCATTAGGCAATAATACCAACACGATAACTGACGATTTCCAAAAACTGCTTGCTTCGCTTTGCAAATGCGACCGTGTGACCATGCGATTTTGGCCTGCCCCGGTTGATGAAACCATTCGTTAACGCTCATCTCAGATCATACGCTGCATGACACTGCGTTCGCTTTCTGGGCGGGGGGTTGGTTGTCGCAATTGCTACCAGGTCCCCGCTGCACTGCGACGCTGCCGGCGAGCCCTCGGCATCGAGCGGTTACATCATGGCATTCGGGATCCTGTGTCTGAGGCGGAAATGACTGACTGAGACCCTTACTGTACCTACATACAGACACGGCAAAGACAGCCGAGAGAGAGGCCAGCCCCTAGACGGGATAGCCGGGCGGCGAGCCAACCTTGGGGTGCTTGGGGCCAGCGCGCAAAGAGAGATCGGGCGCGGGAGATCAGCACTTCTCCTGTCTTGATTGTGCCATGTATGTAATGACGGGCTCGGGGATTTGGTGATCGCGGTCCACCTGGGTGAAACAAGATCGGTGTTGGCCGTTCGATCGAGGGGAGCACGACGAGGCAGCCAGCATCGGGCGGCCGGGCTGTTACTTTCGCCGCTTGAGCCCGGACGATGGGAGCGAGAGGCGACAGTGTGTTACCGGGAAGCGATGCGCGCGAGACCTGCCGCACCATCCGCTTCGCTTCGCTCTCTCGCCGTCGAGATCTGGCGGCGTGTTTGAGACGGCACGGGAAGTGCCATGCCAAGCTGCGAGAGCAGGGGGCTGCAAGGAACGATTGCTCCTTTGGGAATTTTGAGGTGTTTGTTGCTGTCAACAACCACACTCCCTCCCACATCTCCGCTCCGAGACCTGCGCAACGTCACTTGCCATTCTTGTCGCGAACACAATTTGCGGGTCTGAAACAGCTCGTGGTTAACAGGTGGGTATGATAGGGGTTGATGATGCAGGACTTTGGGGTTCATGCGACTCGGACATGGACGCGGGATCGCTCCACCAGACGAACAGACTCGAAATTAGAATTTGTCGTGCCGACCTATCTCAGGGCAGTGGAGTAACTCAACGTAAGTGGGGGAAACTGGTCGCGGCTGCGGCGGGACGGAACTGAACTGCTGGAGAAGGGCCCACTGAACTCAATTTGGCATTCCGCCAACGGCGTTCTGGAAAAATTCCCGAGTTGGGTCGAGTTTGGAGTCAGATATCAGTTTTTTGTTGTCGAAGCTTATCGCCACGTGAAGACGTGAGGACCTGCAAACACGCCCAGTTATCGAGACGACTCGATTCCATCCGTTCCGGTTTAGGCGATTTTGATATCAGGACATTCTGCTCCGGCATTGTCACTCAACACACGACACCTGCAATTTATTCAGTGACGCAATTGTTACAGTTTGCCATGGTTCTCCAGCTCCACGTCTGGGGCCCGGCATTCGGCCTGCCGTCCATCGACGCCGAGTGTATCGCCGTCATCGCATACCTCGCCCAAACCGCCAGCCCCGCCGATTACCAGCTCGTCCAGAGCAGCCCCTCGGCTGTCCCAACCCGTGCGTACCCCAGACCCGACCTCTACCCACCGCCCGCTAACCATGCACCCCACACCAGAACACCTCCCCGCCCTCCACGACCCTTCCACCTCAACCTGGACAAGCGGCTTCTCCTCCATAACCACCTACCTCGCGGCGGCCCACCCCCGCTCATCCCAACCCATAACCCCCACACCCCCCAAACAACCACAACCAACACCAACATCAACACCAACCACCACCGCCAACGCCACAGCCTACACCGCCTTCCTGACCCTGCACGCCGCCCCCCTCCTCTCCCTGACCCTCTACGTCTCCTCGGCCAACTACGCCGCGACCACGCGGCCCGCCTACAGCGCCGTGCTCCCGTTCCCGCTACCCTGGACGGAACCGCCCGCCGTGCGCGCCGCCCACGCCCGCCGCGCCGCGCCCCTGGGCCTGTCGGGGCTCGACACCGATGCGGTGCGCGCGCGGGAGCGCGCGGAGAGGGAGAGGGCCGTGGCGGAGGGGTGGGTTACTGTGCCGGAGGGGTTGGGGAAAGGTGTAGGGGGGGGTGGGGGTGGGAAGGGGGTGGAGGCGGCGTTGAGTCCCGAGCAGAAGATGAGGATTCGGTTGGAGGGGGTTGCGAGCGAGGTATTGGATGTGTTGGGGGAGGTGGAGTGGGAGGGGCAGGAGGTGGGCGTGAGGTGTCTTGCGTTTGGGTACTTGGCGTTGATGTTGGTGCCGGAGGTGCCACGGCCGTGGTTGAGAGAGGTCATGGAGAGCCGGTATCCGGAGTTGTGTAAGTTTGTGAGGGGGTTTCGGGGGGATGTGTTTCCTAAGGAGAGGGCGCTGCCGTGGGCGGAGGAGGAGCAGAGCGCTTCGGCCGTGGCGGTGGGGATGAGGTTTGTGAGGGGTGTGTTGGGGGAGGTACCGTTGGTTGGGGAGCGTTGGAGCCAGTGGTGGACGGCGAGGAAAAGGAGGGAGGTGTTGGCGAGTAAGGGGGTGAAGTCTGAGCCAAGCGGGGATCTGTTGATGTTTCTCGGGGCTGGGCTTGGCCTAACGGCTATGGGTGCCGGTGTCTTCTTTTACCGCGGTCTGCCGCCGTTTGGCGCGGCTGTGCAGGTCTGGAGAAAGCCGATGGTGTCGTTAAGTAGCTTTGGAGCGGCTGGTGCGATGTTTTCGGGGGCGCTTTATGGGATTGATTAGGCGGACAAAAGGTTAGGTCTGGCTGTTTGGAGTGACTATGACCTGGGCTAAACATATTCCCCTCTAGATGTCATGGTATTTATCCATGATTGTTGCAACTTGCATGGCGCCGATGGCGTTGTTGGGAGGTATAATTAGAGCTGTAATGAAGAGATCACTACCCTTTAAAACGGCTTAGAGGCCAAGAGATCATATCATCGAAATTATGCTTGGAGTATCTATGATATCTACGCTCATGTTCCGTAGTTGCATTTACCTGGTGAACTCTAGTCGGGCTGTGGATAGGTGGTTATCTCCCGTAAGGTACATGCTTCGTTTCGAGGGTGGAGGTTGTCTGCTGCCAGGTCTTTTAGGTTTTAACTTTTAACCTGCTAATCAACTTTCTCTCACACATCCCGAGGCGGCTGGCGCTATATGTATTAGATCCGTGTGCCTGATTTCCAACGAGGACCACCGCCCACCGCAACGGGTGGCTCAGTGATTACCAGCGGTGGTCCTCTCAACCCCGGGCAGAAGTTCGCCTCCTCCACATCCCAAGGGTTGTAGGTTCGAGCCCCCGGGGTTTCGGAGCAAATCCCTAAAACAAAATAGGGATTCCGTAACCGGACCACCCTCCCTCTCTCAGGCAGCTGACTTAACGCACCTAAACTGGTACTCAATGAGAGCGGGGCTGGCCGGTGAGCTTTTGCTATTTTTTAACCACGCTCGCTACCTGCCATTTTCTCGACCACCTTTTATTTGTGTTTATTTCTTTATGTATCTACCACCACCATCCAAGGTTTATAAACATGCTCGGGTTACCTACTACCGTTTCCGAGAAATATAGGCCCTTGTTTGAACTTCAAATGTGGAACACATGTTACGGATAGTCGCTCGCTTGGAACCGAGCGGCCATCCCTGCTGACCCGGGCCAAGCCGCAGGTGCGTCGGCAGCTCAGGTCACCGGACGCCGAGCCCGAAATTTATTTCGAGTTTCTCAAATTATTTCACGGCCAGCCACTCCCGTTATGACGTGACAGAGACCATGTCGAAGAGCTGGGTACCGACGCTACGGCTGCCCAAGTCGACATTTCCGTAAGCTACTCGTTCCCGCACGGCTTAATTATCCTCTCGCTCACCCGCCGTAGACCACGTCCCCGGCCAAAGAGTTGGGAGCGGTACATCCAGCAATGCGCCGATGATTTCTACAAGTGGCAGTTGGCCAATCGCCCGGCCGACGACGAATTTGTCTTGCACGATGGACCCCCCTATGCCAATGGCAGCTTGCACGCCGGGCATGCCCTGAACAAAATTCTCAAGGACATCATCCTGCGTGTCAAGGTTCAACAAGGTACGTGCCAAGCCTAAGCCAACCCAACCCACCTACCCCTCCCCTTCCGCTAACGAACACACCCCCGCACAGGGCGGCGCGTCTCGTACATACCGGGCTGGGACTGCCACGGCCTCCCGATCGAGCTCAAGGCGGTGGACGCGGCGGCGGGCAAGCGTATGTCGGCGGGGGCGATCCGCAAGGCCGCGCGCAAGCTCGCCGCCAAGACGGTCGTCGACCAGATGAAGAGCTTCCGCACCTACGCCGTCATGGCCGACTGGGACGCCCGCTGGACCACCATGGACACGGCCTACGAGATCCGCCAGCTGCGCCTGTTTCGCCAGATGGCGCGCCGCGGGTTAGTGTACCGCAAGTTTAAGCCGGTTTATTGGTCGCCGTCGTCGGGGACCGCGCTGGCTGAGGCCGAGCTGGAGTATAACGATGCTCATGTGTCGAAGGCGGCGTACATTCGGTTTCCGGTGGTGGGTGGATATGAGGACTTGCCGGGGCTGGAAGGGTTTGGGGGGAGATTGTTTGCGGTGATCTGGACGACAACGCCGTGGACTCTGCCTGCGAATCGGGCGATTGCGGTGCATGAGGATCTGGCATACCATATTGTGAAGGTTGGTGCAGACGCGTTTTTGGTGGCGGAGAACTGCCTGGAGCGGATCGCAAAGCTGTTTGGGGAGGGGGCGGTTTTTGAGATTGTTGGCACGGTCAAGGGCAGCCAGCTGACACAGCTGCGGTACCTCAACGTGCTTCGGGGGAAGTCGGCCGAGCCCCAGCCATTCATGCACGGCTCGTTCGTGACGGATGGCTCAGGAAGCGGTCTTGTTCATTGCGCGCCGGGGCACGGGTTTGACGACTACTTGGCCTGCCTTTCCCTGGGGATCTCAGTCTCTGCGCCGGTGGACAATGATGGTTTGTTCACCGAGGAGGCCTTCCCTGATCACCCTCACCGTCTAAAGGGCATCTCTGTCCTTGATGGTGGCAGTGATGCTGTGTTGAATATCCTTGGAGACGACGTCCTCGATGTTCACAATTACCAGCATAAATACCCCTACGACTGGCGCACCAAGAAGCCCATCATTATCAGGGCCACAGCCCAGTGGTTCGCCGACGTGGGTACCATCAAAGACGATGCGCTGGGGGCAACTGGCCAAGTGCAGTTCGTGCCCGAGAATGGGAAGAACAGGCTCGAAGCGTTCATCAAAGGCCGCAGCGAATGGTGTATCTCAAGGCAACGTGCTTGGGGTGTGCCAATACCCGCTTTGTACGAGCCGACCGGTAACGCCGTAATGAGCGAAGAAGTCATCGACCACATTATCTCGGTCATCCAGGAGCGGGGTACAGATGCGTGGTGGACGGATGCCCCAGAGGACCCGGCATGGATTCCCGAGTCACTCCGGGGCAAGGGAGAGTACTCGCGTGGGCGAGATACCATGGATGTTTGGTTCGACAGCGGCACCAGCTGGACAATGATGGATAAGCAGGCAGACTTGTATCTTGAGGGCTCTGATCAGCACCGCGGCTGGTTTCAGTCTAGCCTGCTCACTCGGGTGGCTGCCATGGCCGACCACAGTGCAAAGTCTACGACCAATACCCTCGGCCTGTCACCTTTCAAAACCCTCATCACACATGGCTTCACGCTCGACAAGGAAGGCAAAAAGATGTCCAAATCACTCGGTAACATCATCTCCGCGGACCAGGTCATGGATGGCTCGCTGCTCCCACCTCTCAAGCCCAGAAAGAGCGACGTCAGGCCAGCTCCTGTCAAGGACGCTCTCGGGCCCGATGCCCTCCGACTCTGGGTCGCCAGCAGCGATTACACGCGCGACATCGTGCTCGGCGAGCCCGTGCTCACGACAATCCACCAAGCCCTACTCAAGTACCGCATCACCATCAAGATGCTCACGGGATCAATGCACCCGTCGGCGTGCACGGCGCCGCTGACCACCCTTGACCAGATCGCGCTCCTGCAGCTCGGCGACGTCATGGCCGAGGTCGGGCGGCACTACGACGCGCACGAGTTCAACAAGGCCTTCAACGCGCTCAACCGCTGGCTCACCAACGACCTGTCGGCCTTCTACCTCGAGGCCCTCAAGGACCGTCTGTACTGCGCCGATGGCGGCGGCGTGCTCGAGCCCCTCTTTTTTGGGCTTTTGCGCATGCTGGCCCCCATCACCCCCGTCTTGGTCGAAGAGGCCTGGGAGCACAGGCCCCAGTGGCTGAAGGAGGACGAGACGGTGGTGCACCCGCTGCACCAGCTCTATGATGCGCCGCTTGTGGATGAGGGGCGCCGTACAGTTGCTGAGGGGGCGTTGAGGGAGGCGGTGCCCGTGCTGATGCGGACGCATGCCGCCATCAAGGCGGCCTCGGAGCTGGCTAGGGGGGATAAGGTGTTAGGTTCATCGTTACAGTGTGATGTTGTGCTGGAGGTGCCCGAGGGGAAGGCGTTGCAGGCGCTGGAGAGGTTCCGGGAGGAGTTGGAGGCTATGTTTGTGGTGTCCTCGGTTGAGCTGAACGGGACGGTGGCGGAGGATGCGCAGTGGAAGTATTGCGAGGAGTTTGAGCTGGAGGGGAAGCAGTGCAAGGCGTGGGTGCTCCCGCCCAAGCAGGCGAAGTGCCCGCGCTGCTGGAGGGTATGTTGCGCCCAAGGAGGAGGAGCTGTGCGGGAGGTGTGAAGAGGTTGTGGGTGAGGCTGTACAGTAGGTGTTATGATATGTGAAACCTAGAAGCCTAGAGATATGTTCTGTAGATGGCTACAATAAATACCCTACCCAATACTATCTTGATACTCAAAACCCAATTCCCAACGGCCTACCGGTCGTGGTCGTCAAAGCCAAGGGCCAAGAGATATGTTACAGAATACGGTAATTACCATATCGTTACTTGGCCTGCCGATAAGAAACTGCGAGCTGCTGTGGGGCAGAACTTTTCTTATCGAGTTTAGAATCCCAAAATTTATCTTCAGATTGATCCGAGAAGACGCAAACTTCCAATTGCGCGCGCTGCCATAATTGCTCCGCCATGGACATCCTAAGAGTCTTGTCTCGCGGCATCAAGCCAAACCCGAAAAGCAAAGCCCAAGCCGGAGGTGCCACCACCCAGCTCCCCTCGGCCGGCGCTCTCCCCCGTCCGCAGCTCTTCCACGACCCCGTCGGCTCCCGCGGCAAGAAGAGGAAAAGAAGACGGGGCGCCCAGGATGATGAGCCGGAAGGAGACGACCAAGAGCTCAGCGATGTCGATTACTTCGCGCCGAAGAAGGCCGCCCCGGAAGCTGCGCCGACCGACGTCGAGGAGTCCCCTAAGAAACGCAAGATCAAGCTACTAGACGAGGACGAGTGCCGCCAGATTCTGCGGTCGCATCGTCTCAAACTCACAATACTATCGGACCAACCCCAAGCCGAGGCGAAGACGGAGGCGGAAGAGCCAGCGTCGAAGAAGAAGAGCAGCAAGAAGAAAAAGAAGGAAACTGAAGGCAAAGACAAGAAGGACAAGAAGGACGAGCACAAGAAGCAGATCTTCCCACAGCCGCTTACCTCCTTTGGCGAGCTGCGACACACCTACGACGTGTCCCCGCAGCTGGCAGCGAATATCGCTGCGCAGGGCTTCCGCGTGCCGACCGAAGTGCAGATGGCCAGTCTCCCTCTCCTACTGCAGCCAACCACGGCGCTGAAGAAGTCTGAGGGGGCGGATATTCCCAACATCGACAACGGGGCAGACTTTCTTGCCGTTGCCCCTACAGGAAGCGGCAAGACCATCACATTTCTCATCCCGGCAATTGATGGGGTTCTGAGGCGACGTGCGGAGGAGGGGCGGGATACCGACCAGCACGTACTGGAGGCGGTCGTCGTTGCACCGACGAGGGAGCTAGCGACTCAAATTGTGAATGAGGGACGGAAGTTGGCTATCGGGACTGGTGTACGGGTGGTGCTGATGAAGCGGGCTCTGAAGCTAGACGTGGAGGAGGTAGCGGACGAAAAGAGCAAGGACTTAGAAGAAGGCAGCGGGAGCGAGCAGGGGAGCGGTGACGAAGAAAGCGAGGGCGAGGAAGAGTCAGAAGGGGAAGAGGGCAAAACAAGCAAGGAGGCCAAGCCGCTCGCAAGGGTCGATATCCTCGTAACGACACCTAAGATCCTGCTCAATTTCTTGTCTGGGAAAGCTGGTGCTCGAAGGCTCCTACCTTCGGTCAGGTCCCTCATCCTCGACGAGGCCGACGTCCTCCTGGATCCCCTCTTCCGCAAACAAACCATGGCTATCTGTCGCGCCTGCACCCACCCCAACGTCGCTCTGACCTGCTGGTCCGCCACCATGGCCTCCAACGTCGAGGCCCTCGTCACCAAACACCTTCTCCAAGCGCGCCAAGAAGACCGACAGCCCACCCCCGTCCACTC